CACAGAGTGTCAATTATTCATTCATTCAACAAATATTTATCAAGGCCCTATTCTGTGCCAGGTAACGTCTAGCGTTACCGCTGTGAATATAACAAAAATACTCCCTTCCTCTTGGGTCTTATGTTCTCTGGGGTGTGGGCAAGAGAGGACCAAACAAGTTAATGATGATTTTGACTCCCTCCTGACTGGGATCAACTCTCTCCTCTTACCGAAACAAACTGAAAGACATAACTTGCTCAAAAATCATACCGCGAAATAGAGGCAGGTCCGGGTGGCATGTGTGCCTTCTAGCTCGCTGAGCCCACCACTTCAGCCTCAGCTCAGGGTCTACACTTTTCAGAAGTGCAGGGAGCCGCCCTTATTGCCCTCCTCGGGCGACACACTTGTGCCACTAGGTGGCGCCCGAGTGGCTAGACAACAGAGGGCCTGTCGGGCCTTGGCCTTGGTCCTGAAGCGGTCCTTTTGGTCGGTCCAGCTCCTCCGTATCCGTCCTGCAGCCCGAATGGGTGGTTCCGGGGGTCTTGGCTCCGGTGGAGGCAGAGCTGGACAAGTTGCAGAAGAGGATCTGTCGCCTGGTGTTGGAGGCGCTGCTGGCGGAGCTACAGGTGAGGCTTCAGGGGGAGATGGGGCTGGGAGGAGCAGATACAGCTTATGCATGCGGGCCTCTGCCGGGGAATGCTGGGTCTGAATCGTCCCTCCAGCCGTGTCTCTGAACTCCGCTCTCAGCCCCTATTCGCGGTTCTGCCCTCGCGCCGCTGGCTCTCAAGCCCAGAGCTGCTGGATGACGTGTGCGAGCGGACGGCACGATTCTGCCAGAACTTTCGGCACGTGCGGAATCCCGCGGTCCAGGTGCATCTGCGGGGAAAGGCTGGGGTGGGGGTGGGGGTGGGGGGGGGAGGTCAAAGCGCCCATGGGAAAAACATCCTGGACCCATTTGATCGCGATCCCCACAGCTGTTGCTGGCCGAGGCGGAGCGTACGGTGGTGCTGCAGTACTTACGTGCGCTGATGCAAGGCCGCCTAGTCTGCCGCGGTGCTGACGAGAGGACCCAGGCGGCCGAGCGCCTGCAGCACGATGCGGCCCAGCTTCAGGAGCTTTTCCTCGGTTTGGTGAGAATTCGCTGGGCGAGTGGATGGGCGGGAATCTTAGTGATTCGATAGGGGTCGAGGACTGGAGAAAGACCAACCCCTGTGTGCTCAGGGCCTGGAGGAGAGCGTTCAGTGTGCGCCAGTGCTGCTTGCATTGAGGGAGCTGCTGAACCTCCGCGACCCCACGCTACTTGGCCTCGAGGTGGCAGGCTTGCGGCAACAGTTTCCCGACGTGAGGTGCGAAGACCGGTCGGGAAGGGAGGAGACCCAGGAGGGGCTGGGCGGGGCTAACTCACCAGTAACTCCACAGCGAGGATCACGTCTCCGCCCTCCTGGACCTGCGCGGGGACGTGTCCCGAGAGCAGCGCCTGGCCGCACTCAGCTCTCTGCGGGCCGGCCCGCAGCCCTCGCCCCCAGCTGGTCGCCGAGCACTTTTCAGCCTCGTGCCAACACCTGCACCCTCGCTGGCCTCCTGCTTCCCCTCAGGGTCCTGTGCCTGACCCCTGACTGCCCGCAGAATAAAGTCACGTCCCCGTACGCCTGAATTGTACGTGTTGGCGAAGGGTGGATGAAATAAAAGTGCCCACGAAGGGCAGGGGGTCCAAGTTCAGTGACACACCTAAGGTATCCTGGTTCCAGTTCTGATATATGGTGCGCCCCACCTATCCCGGTACCAGACCTGTATGTGGGCTGCTTTCCCAAGTACCCGGGCTTACACAGTGGGCGGACTACATCTTTACGTTTGCGCACACCCGCAGATAGCTAGCGTCTCCTACGCCAGGAGTCAGTCAACTGAGGAAGAGGGGGCGGGCTTAAGACAACACCCCACCCAGGGGCGTGACCCGATGGCGGACACCGCCCCGCCTACTCTGCCTGGCCCCACCCCAAGCCGTGTCCTCGGGCTCTTGCGGCAGCAGAGATTGACGCGAATCCGCGCTCCTTCGTCTGAGCGTGCGCGCGCCCGAGTCCGTGCGTCACCAGCGTCGGCTCCCGCGGGCTGGGCAGCCGGCGGCCTGTGTTGCGGAGCGGGAACAGCGGCGGCGAGAAGAGGATTGAACAGGTGGGGGCGCGGCACGCGGATGTAATCCCCCCACCCCCACGAGGCAGAAAAGGCGTTCGACCGGACCCTCCTCATCTGCCTGGGAACCCCGCTCCATTGTCCACTGGCCCCGCCCTCCATTGGGCACGCCCTTTGCCCCAGCCCCCGCCACTTATTGGCTGTAGGTCACGCCCCTCCTCGATCTCCTAGTACCCATTGGCTCCTCTTCAATGTTATCTTCTCTCGGAGTTTCTTATTGGAGCAGACCACACCCTCTACTATATCACCAGACTCCGCCTTCAGTCTGGGCTCCTCCCACAACCATCTTTCATTCATTCTGCATCTAGTGCTGGGTACTTTGGTCATGGGGGTGAATGAGACCCATCCCTGCCCTCAGGGAGTTCAGGGGATGATGTGGGGGAACACGGACCTAGGCTTCAACAATGACAGCCTAGGGTGGTAAAGAAGCCGTTTGGGCACTGGGAGCCTCTAAGACGCTGGGAAGGCTTCCGGAGGAGGTGAGGCCTAAACCGAGTCCTGAAGAATGGTTAGGAGTTTGTTACAGGGAGACATTGGGAGGGCATTCTTGGCAAAAGGACCTGAGACATGAAAGAAACAGGCATATCCTGGTAATTCCAAAGAGGTAGGTCAAATGAAAGGGGAGATAAAGAGGATTGCTACAAGTAAGAGGCTTGGAGAGCAGTGAGGAATCCAGAAAAGTGTATGGTTAGTTGAGGGGAAGGAAGCCTGAGTCCCGAAATCATCCAGCAGCTTGTCACTAGGCAGAATGCTAGGAGGAGGGGGAGGGGATCAGAACTAGCTGGGGAAGCCAAGTGCAGGGAAGGAATGATTCCAGTTATGAGAAGGACAGGGGCTCTCGGTTTCATTCCTTTACTGAGCAACTGTTCTGGGGACACAGCTGTGAACACTTAGAAGGAGAAAACATAATAATCACATATACTGTACTTCAGATGGTGATGACTGCATTGGAGGACAATATTGTGGGGAAGGCAAGGTTCTGATGGAGAGGGTTTAGAGGAGGTTTACTGTCTTATAGAGGGTGTGTTGGGAAGGCTTTTCTAACAAGATATTTGTACAGAAACCTGAGGAAAGTGAGAGTGACCCCTGTGGTTATATAAGGGGAAAGCGTTCCAGACAGGGACATTTTCAGTTTGAGATGTCTGTTATACATTCAAGTAAACATGTTGAATTGAGAACTGATAACAGAGTTTGAGGGGCTTCCCTGTGGTTCAGATGGTAAAGAATCTGCCTGCAATGCAGGAGACCTGGGTCGGGAAGATCCCTGGTGAAGGGAATGGCAACCCACTCCGTATCCAGTATTCTTGCCTGGAGAATTCCATGGACATAGGAGCCTGGTAGGCTGCAGTTCATAGGGTTGCAGAGTCGGATATGGCTGAGCAACTTACACAGACAGAACACTAGTCTGAAGTTTATGGAAGAAGTTTGGGCTGACATAGTTAAAATCATGAGAGTGGATGAGATCACCCAGGGAGACAGCATAAATGGAGAAGAGAAGTTTCCAAGTCCTGGACATTAGAGTGTTTGTTTTTTTTTCCAGGGGAGGGGTGGGTAAGGAAGGATTTATTAGTTGTAGCAAGTTAGGAGAACAGCAGGGATCTTTCCCAAAGTGGTGTCTCCACATTATGGTGTTAAGAGGTCAGAAAGAGATGACCAGCAAGGAAGACAAGAACACGCAGCTAGTGAGGTGGGAGAACTATGTCCCAGTGTATTTGGGAACCAAGTGGAAGATGTGGCCAAGCTGAGATGAAGTCATTAACTTTGTCAAGTTCTACTGATCAACATGAAGATCACTGGTGACCTTGGTCAGGTCAGTTTTGATAGAGAGCAGGGGCCAGAAGCCCCTATTTGAAGTGAAATTTAAGACAGAACAGGAAAGAAGGAGCTAGATAGAGACTGAGTGTAGATGACTTGGAGTGTTGTGTTACCCTGAGAAGCAGCTGGAGGGAGATGCAGTGAAGCTAGAAGACTATGGGGTCAAGTGAGGTTTTGTTTTTTTAAGATGGAGAAATAACAGCATGTGTTTATACTGACGGGAAGAATCCAGCAGAATGGAAGAGACTGATGATGTAGGAGATGTAGGAAAAAGGAGAGATGCTGGAATTATGTCCCTGAGCAGACACAGTTCGGAGGATGGAGCCTTTGGTCAGTCTCTGGGGATAGACTGGGTTGAACTGAGCCCTGGTACAGAGTTGGTGTAACTGTCCTGACACTGGCCTTGGATGACCACTAGGAAGATGGCTCCGATAGGAGACACCCAGGGATTGGCTTGGATTGGCTGAACTTTCCCTCTGCTTACAAAAAGCTGTTTCTAATTTAGATTTGAACAGATGGACCAGAGGAGAGAGAGAGCATTCCAGGTGGAGGGACTAGCATAAGCAAGGGGCAGGCAGGCCCAATGGGCTGGAGGAGGTGGATGGAGCCGGGTGGGAGGGTGGAGTGAGACGGAGAAAATGCCAGAGGTAGAAGGTAGTGAGACCCCCTCACCTGACATCCTGGCAGCTGAGGCTACATTATACCAAATTCCCAGTCTGGGTGGGTGCTGAGCACAGGGATTAGAATCATGAGTTGGGGGTTTAGGCCTTACCCTCAGAAGCTCGTGGGCTAAGGGGATTTGAGGAACCACCATCTAAGTGGGTGTATGAGACTTCCTCCTGCTTTCCCACAGTCCAGGGAATGGACTAACTAGGGTGGAGTTGAGGGGGCACGGGGCCTGCTGGCCCTCACTCAGGCCACACCCACTCATTGCTGGCCTCCATATCCTTCCTGTGTCTCCAGAAGTCGACGGTGTGGGGAGCTGGAGTGACCTGGCTGGATGTGCCTTCCAGGACAGAATGGTGCTGGACTCAGGTGCTCAGGTGTATGAGCAGGCACCCCCCAGCCCACCAGCCAGCCCCTCCTCCTTGGCCCATAGGCCGGGGCCCTCAGACCGAGATGGGACAGCGCTGTTCCCCTGGCCTCAGTCCCTGGCCCTGCCCCTGGCTCTGTCCGTCCCCTCAGCCCTGCAGCCCCAGGCGGAGAGGCAGCCCTTCTCAGAGCTGCACTTGGGCCGCCGTGGACACATGCGGCGCAGTGAGAGCACCTACACAGTGAACAGTACTGGCCGGCGGGGGGGCAGCACCCAGGGTCGGGCCCCGCCTGGACGGGGACGGGACCCAGGTGGGGGCACCCTGCGGCCCGCGGCCTCCCTGCCTCACATCGCTAAAGCGCGGAAGGAGGCGGGCCGCGGCGTCAGCAAGAGCCCCTGCATGTTGGTGGCTCTGCGGCCAACCAACATGGACCGTGAGCGGGACAAGTTCTTCCAGTCCCATTACACCTACAACCCACAGTTCGAGTACCAGGAACCCATGCCCACGGCTGTGCTGGAGAAATACTGTGAGGCCTCTGGACAGTTCATTCATCAGGTCAGTGCAGACTGCCCGCCTCACCCCAGCCCGGACCACCTGAGTGGTCCGGCCTGACCTGCTGCTGCGGCCCTCTGTGCAGGCAGTTGGCATCATCGAGGCTGTCCTGGAGAAGTTTGGGAGCTATGAACACTTCGAGGCTGCAACAGGGGGCCAGCTGCTGACCAAGTGCCAGATCTGGTCCATCGTGCGCAGATACATGCAGAAGGAGGGCTGCGTCGGGGAGGTGAGCTCACGCTGCCAGCGATGCCCCTTTTCCACCCGCTCCCAACCAGACTACCAAGCGGGCAGTGCCAGGCCCAGCTCCATTCTGGTGGAGCTAGTGACCTCAGGCCAGCCCTGTTCCCGCCCCTGCCCCAGTCAAGTGGGAGCTGGCTCCAAGCAGAGGTGGGGCAGGGTGGGTGTCGTGGTCAAGTGTCCTGCCTGGCTCCCCTGCGGCATCAGCAGGTCCACCTGCCCACTGGCCCCCGGGGTTGGTGGCCATGACACGCGTCTCTGCCACCCACAGGTAGTGGTGCAGCTGAGTGAGGACCTGCTGTCCCAGGCAGTGATGATGGTGGAGAACAGCCGGCCAACGTTGGCCATCAACCTGACTGGAGCCCGCCAGTATTGGTTGGAGGGCATGCTGCGGCACGAGATAGGTCAGGGTGTGGTAGGTGGGTGGGCTGGGATGAGGGGGGGCTGGGATGTGGGGTGGGGGGCAGGCAGTGAGGGGCCCCAGTAACTCCATCCCCTCTCATTCTTCCCCTTCCCTTCACCAGTAGCCACCTTCTCCCTCTGGCTCACAGAGGTAGCCCAGAACATGCCAGCCCATTCTTTGGACTCACCCTCATTTCCTGTTCCTTCTGGGTATCTATTTCTCCCTCAGCTTTCTCTCTGATTTCCCTTGTCCATGGGGCAAGACTGCTGAGGCCCGGACAGGCCAGAGGGAGAACCCTAAGGGCCCCACTAGTCTAGCCAACAGTACAGGCCTTCCATGGTGGGTGCAAGTTCAGATTTTGGGAGGGGAACTGGTTGAAGACACAGCTGGATTTAGGAGGGGACTGGTCAGGCTGGAAAGGCAGGCATAGGACACTAACTACTATTCTTCCATGTCTGTCACTCCTCGTCAAGAATCATTGCTCTGGGCAAAAGGTAGTTTTTGCTGGAGATGCCAGCATGAGATGGGCATGCAAGGGTGTGGGGCCGGGGTGGTGTGTGAGTTCCCCGCCTCTCTAGGGGACTGGCGGGGCAAGCAGTGTGCGTTTGTGAGAGTTGTGTGTGTGTAGTCCTGGATGGGTGGGGGAAGATTTATGTGTGTGAGCCTCTGGATCCTTGGGTGTGAGTTCACCTGAAGAGGGTCTTGATGATGCCTTAGGTTGGGTGAATATGGGTGTGGGGTGGAGAGGCTTGTGTGAGAGCCTGATTCTAGGGGCATAAAGCTATGTGAGTCGCCGGCTAAAGGTCCAGCCAGGCAGAGCAGGGCCCGGGACAGGGTCAGGCCAGGAAGACCCCCTGGATGCCCAGCCCAGCCTCTTCTTTGCCCACCCCGCAGGTACCCACTACCTTCGGGGCGTGAACAACGCGCGGCAGCCATGGCACAGCGCCGAGGGCCGGCAGCAGTACGGGCTGCGGCCAGCGAACCCCACGGAGGAGGGCCTGGCCAGCCTGCACAGCGTGCTGTTCCGCAAGCAGCCCTTCCTGTGGCGCGCGGCGCTGCTCTACTATACGATACATCGTGCCGCGCGCATGTCCTTTCGCCAGCTCTTCCAGGACCTGGCGCGCTACGTGCAGGACGCCGACGTGCGCTGGGAGTACTGCGTGCGCGCCAAGCGCGGCCAGACTGACACCTCGCTGCCCGGTGGGCATCAGTCCTGTGGGGCTGGTGGGGGAGTGCCTCGATCTGGGGCGGGAGGGTGAGCGTGGGGCTTTGGACCTAGGGCTCACGGCCCTCCTGCGCCCACAGGCTGCTTCAGCAAGGACCAGGTATACCTGGATGGCATCGTGCGCATTCTGCGGCATCGTCAGACCATCGACTTCCCGCTGCTGACCTCGCTGGGCAAGGTGAGGGGCCACGGGGCCTTCAGAGGCCCCAGCCAACTCTGCCCCTTACTTCTGTATTCCCTGAGCCTCTGGTTGGAGCTCGACTGAGGACTGGGTGCCAGGCCTCTCATGGGGGGAGTGTGGGTGGAGTGACCACAGGAGATGACGTGACAGTCTGGCAGCCAGTATAGGTGCTTTTTCCAGCCCACAGGTGTGTAGACACTGCAAGGGAAGTGAGCATTCCAGGCCAGGAGAGCCGTCAGGAAGGGCGGAAGCAGGCTGGAGAAATAGCCAGGGATCAAGCCCTTGGCACTGGGTATTTGTGCCAGGCTGAGGAAGTTGAACTTCATCCAAAGCAGTGGGGAATCCAAGGAGCTTCAAGCAAAGGGTGGCACAGATGTTGGCTTTAGAAGGCTCTGTGTATCATATGAGACGAGAGGCCTAGGGAAGGGAGTGCAAGGGAAAGAGGAGGAGGCCTTTTTCATCTCTTCTGCAACACTGATGGTGGTCTGGCATAACCCCACAGTGGTCATGCAGTTGGAGAAGAAGGGGCAAGCTGGAGAGATCTTCAGAGAGTGGCCACTCTGAGTGGGAGGGTGACACTATGTCCCCACCCTAGAATCTGACCTAGGGGCTGTGAGAAGGGTTGGGCTGCATAAGCTGGCACCCAGGAAGGCTGGATATGAGGCATCTAAGGTGCCTGGTATCCAGGGAAAGATGTTCAGAAGGCAGTTGGATACCCAGATTTGGAGATAAAGGGGGGAAAGCTGGACTGGAGACACATGTAGGGTTGTAGCACATAGATGTTAGAAGAAGGTGTTGAGAGAAAGAGCAAACACCCAGGATGGAGCCACAGGGTACAGAACGTTGGGAGTGAATCAGAAGGGGAGTGGGAGGGGTTCTGGGAGCAAAGGGCTATAGGCCATTGTAAGAGAGCTGGGACCAGCTGCCTGAAAACCAGGGGACCCTGCACTGAGGCCCAGCTTTCTTCCTGCAGGTCTCCTATGAGGATGTGGATCACCTCCGGCCCCATGGGGTGCTGGACAACACCCGGGTGCCCCATTTCATGCAGGACTTAGCACGCTACCGGCAGCAGCTGGAACACATCATGACCACCAACCGGCTGGATGAGGCAGAGCTGGGCCGCCTGCTGCCTGACTGATACTGGTTGAGGGCTCCGGATCAGCCCCCAGAACATGAAGCTGGCTGCTCTGTGCTTCCACAGCCTGGGTGTTTCTTGGGGCCTGGGGAGGGCAGAAGCATTTCAGGAGGGAGGAGCGGCAACAGCAGAGTTTGTACTAGCCTCCCTGGACCCCGAGGGCCAACAGCAGCATGTCAGGCAAACTAAGCCTGCCCTCCTGTCTCCAGCTATCTGTTGAGCCAAGGAAGAGCCTGATGGAGGGAGGGAAGCTGAGCATGAGTGGGCATAGGGGGGTGGTTTGGGAGTAGAAACTTGTTCTTGCATGAGATGGCTTTGGGTGTCTGCGTACTCCAGTCTTTTTGTCCCCCACCTGGCCCCTTGGTGCTCCTTCAGCTTTCACGCTGTCTACCTCTCACTGGGTCCTGGTGGGGATCTCCCTTCTCCTGGGGTGACTGCCTGAGCCTGCTGTCCTGGCTTTCACACAGACTCAAGGAGCAGGGATCCTGGTAGTAGAGACCCAGCTGGGCTGGGGTGTGCTTTCCAGCATTTTGCCTCTCCCATTGTCATTGTATGTATTCCCTATTTATGTGCTGTATGTCCTGGGCTTCTGAAAGTTCGGTGGAGGGAACAGGGCTCCTCTGGAAGGCACTGACTGTTCCTAGCTCCACCCATACACCCCCCCAACACACACATACACAGGCCTTGTGAGTCAAGCCGAGAGCTCACCTGGCCTTGCCCTCAACCCCTGCACTGGCCTCTGCTGTCCCTGTCTTTGCCCACACCCTCGCAGCTGGTCTCTGGCAGGGGTTGACATAGGCTGGCAGCATCCACAATCAAGCCTGAGGGGCAGGCCCCCGGTGATTCCAAGTTCTGAGCCTCTCCTCAACCAGGAGAGGTGCCAAGATGATTGTTGCTTCTAGTTTCTCATACAGCTGAGTCTGAGGTTGACCTGGCCCCGCTCCCACCCTTGGCCTTACTTTTCCCATTTGAAAACTTGGAAACACAGCTGGAAAGTCCTTATTCCTTTAGTCATTAAATATGTATAGAGCGCCTTCTGTGTACCAGTTAACTGGTCAGAATCCTCACTGAGCTCCCAGTCCTGAGAGAAGCCAATTAAAACAATTACAATGAAGTGTGTCGGCTGCATCTACTCACGATCACTTCCACTTTATCTTAATCTCCCTTCCCAAGGCTGTGAGTCTAGCTTTCTCTAAGTGGAGAGAAGTACTCCTTTCCTGGCCCTTTGTGCCGGTGCTAGGGGCTTCCATGGGGTGGGGCTGGTGATGACACATGTTCCCAAATGGTTCATGAGGATAAAAGGGCCATGGAGTAGGGCCCAAGGATCTGGCCCTTGTCCCACTGGGGACCGGGGTCTGGGGTCTATAGGGGTACAGCTTGTACTGTTGACGACAGAAATGGGCTGAGGACTGTGCCATGGACACAGGGCTGCCCAAGTCTTTGGCACTTAGAGCCACACATCCACACCCTCGTTCCTGGGCAAAGAGCCACAATCAAGAGTCCAGGCTGACCCTCCAGAATTTATTCACTTTCAGTGGTACTGGGCCAGATGGAACCTTGGTGGCATCTGATGCCACCATGGCAGGATCCCAGATCCCATCCTGTTACGACGAAGAGTGGCCTGTAGGCGCTATGGCTTTCAGGAATCTAGAAATGATGGAAGGGGCGTGGTCATTCAGGTGGAGCCCCCCTCCCCGCGCCACAACCTCCCAGGCCACGCCCTCCCTCCAGGTTTGGGCAGCCTCACACCTTCAGACTCGTCTCCAGCCTCGAAGTCAGAGTCAGGCTCTGGCTCCGGCTCTGGCTCTGGTTCTGGTTCTGCCTCCGGCTCCCGTTCCGCCTCTGGCTCCGGTTCCGGATCCATTTGGGTTTCCAACTCCGGTTCAGCCCCTTCAGAGGTCTCGGCTTCCAGCTCTGGCTCAGTTTCCTCGAGGGTTCCGGATTGTGCTGCCTCGGAGTCCTCAGGACCCCGGGCCTCGTCGGATTCTGGAGCTCTGGGCAGCCAGGGGCACGTGGCCCCTGAGTCAGCAGCCCCGGGAGTCCAGTGGCCTGGGCATGGAGGGTCATAGCTACGTTCCCGGTAGCCTGCGGCGGAGGTGGGAGTGTCTCAGGCTCAGTTTATCCCCTTGGTTTCCTCTGCACACGTGCGAGTCTTTGGGGAAGACCACAGATCGATGCCCCCACGCCACGCCCCCTCCTCTGACCTAGGCCCCGTCTCCCCCGCGCGCTCTCACCGGTCCCCACGTGCTGCCAGTCCCAGGCGGGGTCGGGCGCCCGCACAGTTCGTTGGGCGCAGCTCAGCAGCTCCTGGCAGGCAGCCTCGCCCTTGCTCTGCACCAGCAGCAGCAGGCGGCGCACCCTGCGTTCGGCGTCAGGCAGCGCGTCTAGCGCCTCGTACTCGGGCCCGGTGAGCACGCCCCGTGCCAGCAGCGCATCCAGCAGCAGCCCCGAGTCCGCCTGCAGCGTCTCTACCAGGCGTTTCCGCTCGCGGTCGATCGTCTCTGATGGCCTCTCCTGGGTGTTGCCCATGGTAGGGGCTGCATGGGAGGTGGGGGGCGAGAGGTAGTGGGGGCCGGAGCTCCCCTGCTTTTGACCTCCCTCCCGGGGCCCCAGTGAACATCCGTGGCTGGGGTCTAAGTTCACCTGGATCTCTGCTGCGGCCCGCCAGCCCCGCAGCGCAGCACAGGACCGATCCTGCCTCCCTGGCCTTTTCTGCCTTATCTCTGCTTCGGGCTTCACCTTCGGTCCCTAAATGTGAGCTGTGGCGCTCCTCTCCTCCCCTAGCTTCCCCAGGACCATCATCTACTCTGACTGCCCTCCCCAAGCAGGTCCTTCCTCCTGAGCCCCTGCCACCTGTAGATCCCGCGATGGATTCAGACCTAGTTTATCCAACCTAACTTCTCTTTCCCAACCTGCTTCCCCAACTTGCAGCTGGTCCTGATAACCCACACCCAGCTTGCAATCAAGTCCTTTTCAGTCTCTCTGCTGAATACTTCTGTCAACTTCACCACTGAGTAGTCTTTCATTTCCAGCCTCGACCCTGCAAAGTTTCGTATCTCCCGTCCAGGATCCCAAAGTGCTGAGAGTCTTCCCGCTCCTCTCACCTACCTGAGGAAGTCCAAACCCCTTATCCTCAACCTGAGGTCAATCCTTCCTGGACAGGCCCCTGCCTCTGCACCCCCTCACCAATACCACCACCGTGTTGGAACCCCAATGTGGTCTCCTGGCCTCTCCTGGTTTCCTGAGTAGAGATACCTGAGTCCTCTTGAGTCTTAGCTCTGACCGAGATCTTCTGACATCACCTGAGACCAAACTGTCTCCCTGCTGCTCTGGGAATGATTTACAGCCATCATCTTGAAGTATCCAGGACCCAACTCATAAAAGCTACCAGGAAATGTCAAACTTTCACTGTTTTCCTCCGTGGATCCTCCCATTTTGAGAGGCTGTCACCACCCCAACAGCAGGTGTTGGGCAGAAATTAATCTGGTTTGTTCACTTATCAACAACCAAGGACAATGGCCCATCTCCTCTTGGATCGCCTGACCCAAGCAGCAAGGTCCCTGGCATTAAGGGGCAATTAGGTCAGGCCCTGGACCACTCCCTCTCTCAGTCCATCTCCCTTGGCCTTGGCTTTGTCCAAGGGTTTCATCCTCTCTTTGGGGTCCCTCCTTTACCTCCTTACCTGGCTCTAGGAATGGGAGAGAGGATTTGGTCTTAACCCCCATGTCTCTCACTGCCTGGTGTCATGCTATGCCTCTCTGGTCATTGCACCCCTCCTAGCCATACTGAGGTGTCAGCCCTTCCCTCAGGCCATGAGCAGAGACCCTTTGCCCTTCCCTCTCCCTTCATGTCCCATTTGTGACAAATGCTGCTCCTCCACTGACATCTCAGTGAGAACCAGCATCTCCCTCCACCCCCCATCTCCTGTAACAGCCTCTCCCAGCACCTCTCACTCCTGTCCCATCACCCTATGGAACAGTGACTTTGACAACTCTCTAGGGTAGGATTATTGTGCCCATTTTACAGATGAGGAGACAGGTTCAGAGAGACCAAGTGGCAGAACTAGAGTCTGACTTGCTCCAGCCTGAACTACGAGGTGTCTGGCCAAGCAAAATGTCAACCATAACTACCTGTCCCCAAACCCTCGTGAGACCACCAGAGAGAACCAAGACTATCTGTTCACCTCCCACCCCCTAGATAGCAGGCTTTCCCCCACTTCCCTCAACCATTCAGTACCCGCACTTCCTAAACTTTGTAGACACTGTTCCCTGGACCTGGAATCCCTTTTCTCCCTCCAAGCGGTGGACCCATCCTCCAAGACTCAAATGTCCCCTCCTTTACCCCAATGCCCGAGTGTCCCAGAAGCAGATTGGTTCCTTCTCCTCTGTATCCCAGTGAACATCATACACCCTCACTGGGCTGACATCACTGGACTGTGTACCATGGATCCTTTGCCCTCTTACTTGCGGTTTCCAAAACCTGTTCCCCCAGTCAAAAGTGTAGGAAGGGAGGGAGGACAGAACCCACTGTGTATAGGTGCAGAGAGGGAGGGGACATATTAGGTTGGCCCCTCCTTTTTTCTCCCTCCTCCCCAAATTATTTTCATGTTAGCTTCCTCCTCTAGTTACCCCAAGTCCTGCCTTTTGTCCTGTTTGGAGAGCAGAGACCCCAGCTAGTCTAGATCCTCTGAGATTTAATGCTCAGAATATTGAAGTTATGTCCTTCAATGATCACAGCCCAGATTCTTCCCAAAGGACCAGGCGGCTCCAGTTAGCACGCGTGGTCGGGGGTCTCTGCCGCCCTCCCCACCTCACTTCCTGCGCGCGTTCTTTCGCTAAGGAGCGAAGGTGATGGGTCAACGCGGAAAACTTCGCGCACCTGCGAACTTTTAACATCCATCCCTCCACCCAGCCCCAGAGATGAGTCCAGCGGAGGAGAGGGGAGGGGCGGGGCTCACAGACCTTTGCGCAAGGCTGCTGGTGGTGATTCGGCGCGGATTTGGCCCAAACTCAGTTTCTCTTCCCTCCCCCAGCCGGGGCGGGGGGAGGGGTTCGGTGGGGCTCCCGGTCCCTGCGCTCCTGGCGGCCCCACTCACGGGTCGAGCCTCGGCGGGGCAGGAGATGACGAGGCAGAAAGGGCCGGACGGGATGGGAGCAGCAGCTGCGGCGGGGGCGGGGCGGCCAGGGCTGCTGGGAACCGGGAGGGGGTGGGGAAAGGGGGCCGTTCTTCTCGGTACGCGGGGAGGCCGGCCGCAGAGGTCGAGTACCGTCTGGCCGCGTATACGCAGTCCGCTTTCCCTCATCACCCCGGGCGCACCGGAGGAGTCAGGGTGGGGATCGTTAAGCCCGCGGACCCAAGTACCCCAGCAATTCCCAGACGTTTTACACCCATTCTCTCTGCCCGCACAGAGAAGGCTCAGAGAAGGGGACCAGCTTACTCAAGATCACAGAGCGGGTGCACTGCGGTGCTGGGTGTGACCCCTAAAAGCCCCCGATTCCCGGAGGTCGCAGTGGCCATGCGCCAGCCCTGGATTCGCACCCGGAGGATGGGGCCTAAGCAAGAGAGCTCGGCCTCGGAGGCACCTCCACTCTCCAAGGGTTCCTCGATTAACATTAAAGCCCTGGGATCTGGACGTTTCTATGAAGGCAAAGGCGCCCCCCACCCATGACTTCTGTGTTCCCTGGTCGGTAGAGGAAAGAGACCAGAAACACAGAAAAAAACCGCGGTTTTATGCAGGACTCGGGAATGGAGAGGGGCTGCCAAGTAAGTGCGGCTTCACTCAGCGTCCACCAGGGGGCTCAAGGAAGCCGAGCAGGGCGTGCTCCTGCCGGCCAGCCCCGCAGCAGGGCTGGCTTCGGAGTGGAGGGTGTCTCAGGGCGAGGGGTTGTCTCCCGCGCCCAGGTAGGAGGCCCGGCTCTCAGGGCTGCTGTAAATGGTTAAAGCTCCGGGCAGGCTGAGGGCTGGGCCTCCCAAAGCCGCTGGCATGTCCAGCAGGAGTGGTGCCCCGAGGGTGGAGTCCTTTCCTAGGAGAAGTGGGGCTGTACTCAGCAGGGAGAGACGGTCATCTCCTTTCTTCGGGGAAGGAGAGCTTCACTCGCCTTGCCCTCTGGTCAGTTGAGATGAAACATCCACTCTCAACCTCCCCCCTCTCCCAGCCTGACTCCGGGGATTTCCCTCCCAAACTTCGACTGCCCAGCCCACCCAATCGTGATAGCTCAGGGCCCTCAGGGTCTCCCCCTGGTCCCCGAGTCACCACAGTTATTACCTGGGCCTGGAGAACTTAACCCCTTAACCGCCAGCTCGGTCTCACCCTTCTCTGGAACCAAGGGCTGCAACTGCAGAAGAGAACCCCAGGAAGCAGCTGGTGAAGGGAGCTGGGGCTTTGGCTGAGGGAGAACAGTGGTGGACTAAAGGGCTTGGCTGAGCAACCCTCAACACCCACCCCCGCCGCCCTCCTACCCCCATCTTACCAGGGACAGCTCCATGTCTAAGTCCATCAGAGTCCATTCCCGCCCTTGGAGGCTGGGGCCCAGCACCTGGGGGGAGGTCTGGGTCAATGGTGCCCAGACAGCTGGAGCCCACCGAGCCCTGTGCCCCTGCCTCACGGAACGTGTACTCACATCCAGCGGCCCTGCGGGCTCCACACTTTCAGGGGGGGCCCGAAGCAGCATTGGAGGCAGCAGACTCTCTGGACTCCGGCCTCCCCTCTCCAGGTCCAGAGGGCCCCTGTGCACAGAGAACTGCTGTTGGCCACTCCCTGCATTAGGTTTCCAAGGAACCTGGATACATCAGGATCTAAATCTGACAATATCTAGCAAGTGTTAGAAGAGGACCTCCCAACCCTCACACACAGAAGGGCACAGACAAAGTGCCTTCTGCCTCCTACCTCCTACCTTTGGTCTGAGGTTTAGGTTGTGTGCCTGCCCCCACCCAGGCAGTTATCAATACCAGTGGGTCTTAAACTGTCATGTACTTTACAATCTTGACAATCACCCCAGTGGTGGCATTTAAAATGCAGACTCCTCAGCCCTGCCACTGAGGCGTTTCCACTTGCCAGGGGCCTCTGAAACTGGTGCTCCTTAGAGCAACTCTGAGAAATCAGGTCAGATCATGGCTGCCTCCTCAGCCACCCTGGGGCAGACAAGGCTGGGAGGTTTCAGGACTAGCTAGTGCGGGTCTAGCTGAAAAATATGGCCCACGGGGTTTATAATCACAAATGGGCTTTCTGCTCACCTGTCGGGAACCTCCCTGGGGCCTCTTGGTTCAGGCTGTTGGGCATTCCTGGGCCCCTCAGGGCTGAAGCTCCCTTTCCCCTCCAGGATGGCCTGCACTACAGCCACAGGCAGCGGTGGGGGTGCTGTCACGCAGAAGTCACACTCGTTTGGGGCCAGGGCCAGCCCGGCCTCGCCTTCCCCCCCTGGGCTGGCTGGCTCTTCTTTGAGCAGTGCCAGGCCCTTCTCCCTGCACCAGAGAAAAGCTTCAACCAGACCCTGGCGCTGACCTCTCCCCCTATCCCCACAGCCATCTGGGCTGCCAGGCCCGCCCCACCACAGCTCCCCAGAAGGCAGCCCCTGTCCCTCTTACCTCCTGCCACCACTGGAGGGGGAAAGCCTGGTTCCTTCAGGGGATGGAGAGTCTTCCGGGAGGTCGGAGATGATGGGGCCCCTGGCCCTGTGAGGGCTGCTGAGGCCCAGCGTGGTCTCCGGGAGGGGCTGTAAGTAGAAGACGGGTTGAGCTCTTTATCTCAAGCCATAGGGTGAGCCAGAGCCCGACTGGTACCACATGGGCCAGACCTAAGGGGAAGGCTTGAGGGGGGAGGCTTGACCCTTGCTGGGTCTGGTGGGAGGGAGGTTAGGCTCCATCTTCTCTTCTATTTCTTTTCTTTCTGTTTTTTTTTTTTTTTTAATCTCTTCTTTTTGGGGAATGGGGAAAGGGAACAGGCTCTCTATGGAGGGAAGAGAGGAGAATCAAAAACCTACCGACTGGATAAAGTAGGGGTCCTGCAGGAGGGCACCAGGTAAGGGGCAGGCGTTGAATTTGGCTGGTGTTGGGCACCCCTCATCCAGCATCAGGGACCTGTGCAAGATGGCCAGGGGGACAGGCAGGGGGCTGGGCAGGTTCATCTCCCAGGCCCCTCAGCCTGCACCACCGCCCTCCCACAGGCCCCAGCAGCCACGTCAGCAGAGCTGAGGCCTGTTGCCAGGGCATCAGTCACATGCTGGAGGCAGAAGGGGCTCCCCCCCACCAGAGATGGGGGCCCTTTGGGGGCAGAGGGGAGGGAGGAAGCCTGGTTGGGGCCCAGACCCTCTGCTCTTGGGATGCTCTGGAGTGAGGGGAAGGGGATCATAAGGTGGAAATACAGGATTAAGGCCCTGGAAGTGAGGGGTCTGATAGTTGGGGTTTTGTGGTAGAATTAGGGGTGGGGTGAAGCCCTGGAATGGGGCTTTAGGGGAGATGGCCATGGGGTGAGGAAGACTGTAGTGCAGGGGGAAAGACAGGTGAAGGGGTTTCTGAAGGAGAAGGAGTCCTGCCTGGGGCTCTGGCAGGGAAGTCCTGCAGGGAGTAGGGGCGTCTCTGGGGTTCTCACTCACAGCTTCCTCTTAGCTCCTGCGCTGCCAGACCCAGCCTGAAGTGGCCCAAAGAGGCACTGGATCAGCTGAAAAGGAAACAAAGGGTTAACTCATACTTGGGGCCTTGCCCCTCACTCTAACAAGACACTTCCAGGGGGCTTCCAGGACTGGCCTTTGGCGAGGGGTTGTGGGGGGTGGGTGGGTGGGGTGGGGGAAGAGGAACACCTTGCCAATGACCCGATGCTGCTGACCGTGGCTCTGCCGCAGCGTGACCACCTCCCTCCACAGGATCTCGTTCTGCCTGGGGAAAAGGCGTGGGAGGATGCTGAGGCATCTGAGAGTTCGCCGGGTCACCACCGCCCACCCCCAGAATGGCAGGCCCGCGCCCGCGTCCACTCGGATGATCGTCCATTCATAGTCAAGAGACTGCCACAGCTCGGCCCACTGGTCTTGGAGGAGGTGCCCAGAACCATCTAGAAGCCAGTGTCCTCGCGCCCAGAGCCCCCCTTCTCCCTCCCCATCCTCCTCCGCCCCCTCCCCCGCACTGCCTGAGTTCCCGCAGCCGCGCCTCGGTGCTCTCCTGCATCCCCCGAAAAGCCTGCACCTCGCCCAGCAGCCGGCCCAGGTCCTCGGGGCGCCAGCGGCCGTCGTCGCCGCGCAGCGCAGGCACCTGCAGGAGGGAGGCTCCCTCAAGTAAGGGTCGCACGAAATAGCTGTCCCACCTCCACCCGGGTTCGCTGGTCACTGCTGGCCGCCCCTAACCTTGCGGCGCACGCGTTCCAGCAGTTGCTCTCGGCCGCGTACGAAGCTCGGGTGCTGGAACTCGACGTGATCCCGTTCAGGTCTCAGCAGGCCACCCTGCTCGATGCTCACCACCTTCCGAAAACCGTCTAGGGAGCGGGGCGCGGGGGGGTAAGTTGCTGAGTCCCCGCGATCCAAGTCATCCACGCTAGCTTCCCACTCGGCCCTAGGGACTCACACATATTGAGTTGCCGCACGAAGCTCGCCATGTTGCTGTGCTTGAAGTATTGGGGCAACACCTCCTTGGCGAAGCGGCTCTGGTCGCTCACGAGGAAGCTGGTCCCGCTCTGAGGAGAGCACCGCCCGCCCACTCACGGTGCGGGCGGAGACCAGACGACACGGTGAGCGGTGCCCGCCCACGGCCAAGCCAGCGGGCCGGCGCGCGCACACACAAACTCGCACTCACTCTGGAGACCGAGACTGTCATTCATGGGGACGTGGGACGAGGCCGGGCCGGAACCAGCTCGGAGGCCTATCCCGGGGCCACCACAATGAACCTCTACCCCAGCCCACCCAGACTCCCTACTCGGTTCTCTAGGAGGAGGTGCCGAGGTCAGACTTGGGTTCCAGACCCGGATGGCTCCCAGACCTGCGTTGTGACTCTGATTTAGAATCAGACCCAGCCCTTCCCTTCTCCTGGTCTCCTTTTCCCCACCTGTCTGATGGGATAGGGTGGGAACTAGAAGACCTCGAAGATCCTTCGGGTGCTGGGTCTCCTTCAGAAGGCTCCTACCCTTTCCTCTGCCCGAAGGAAGTCGCCTCACCTCCATCTCCAATACCACACCCTCCGCCCAAGCCGTCGCCTACCCTAGACGGCTGAATCAAGGGACCCACAACCCCGTCCCAGGCAGGGGTTGATGAGCGTGGACGTTCACTGACGTGGAGGAATCCCGGGGACCAGTGAGGAAGTCGAGGGGCCCCAGCCCTCACCGGGCTCCAGCGGATCAGGTGGTCGGTGCCCGGGTCGCCCACCAGTGCCCATAGCTTGCCGAGGAAGGCAGGCACTGGGCTGGGGCCCGGCTCCGTGGGCAGCGCGGCCGGCGCTTCCTGCATGGCGCAGTCTCGGCACCGCTAAGCGCTCGGGCCCGGCCGCCGCGGGCTTGTCAAAGCCGCGGAAAGTGCTGCGTTTGCCGCCCGCCCCGCCCTACTCCGCCTCCCGGCGCCGGGTCAGGCGGGGGCCACGTGCGAACTGGCGGGGCGGGGCTCTGGCCGCGGCCGCAACACCAGAGAACCGAAAGGGCAGTATGGGATCGGATGTGCGTGGGGGCAGGGGGCAGGAGGGAGGGAGACCTGAGTTCGAGTCGCACCCTTCTCAGGCCCGCAGTTTGCTCCTGTGTTCTTCGGGAGAAATCGAGCGTACACAGCCTGATGTAGGCTGGGAAAGAGATGGGCACAGCCAAGCCTCGGGTAGAGGGGCAGATAGGAGCGGGCGAGGGTGGGGAGGAGAAGCTGACACCCTCCTGCGGAACCTAGGACACTGTCATTCCGAAGAAGCCAGGACCCCGACCCTGACCGCTGCAGCTGCACCGGTAGAAATGGACCTTGAGGTCTCAAACCCTCCCTACCCCTCTTCCAGCCTCTGTCAGTTCAGAGCAGACCCGGCTTTTCACAGGACTCAGAGATAATGTTGATTTATTCCACACTCACCCCAGAGGCACGACTTGAGCCACTGCCCTCCCTCCCTCCACGCCAGGGCCGCCGAGCTAGCGACATGTTTGCAGAGGGCTGGGGTTGGAGGAGGGTGATCCCTGTACTGCGGGGACAGTGGGTGTCCGCAGATGTTGAAAGCAACGAGTGGGCTCACGGCGCCCTGGACCGGTAATGATGCCACTTTATAGGCTCTAATCCTCGCGAGGGACAAGAGGCAAGAGTCCCAAAGGAGAGGGCTAGCAGCTGGCCCGCCCCTGGGCAAACCCACGCAGAATTTCAGAGGACACACGTCCGCAGGGAGCGGAAAGAGCGTTTGTCACATCACGCCACAAGCGTGGGCCTCCAGGGATGGGGCTCCCGCGTTAGCTTGAGCGTGTAGCTGCGCAGGCGCGGGCAGCGCGCGCGGAAGGCGTGCAGCACGGAAGGTCGCACCACGCAGAAGCAGTGTACCTCGCGCAGGCCCGCGCAGCGCGCTGCCAGCTCCTCCAGTGCGGCGTCCAGCTCTGCCGAGGCGGCGGCGCGCACCTCAAGCGCGCGCAAGGTTGCGGCGTAGTGGCGCGCCGCGAAGCGCACTGGGCCTACGGTGTCCCCAGAGAGGCTGAGGCGCAGCGCAGCCACGGGTACGGCTGGCTGCAGGACGCGCGTCACGCTCTCTGCAGGCAGCACCGGCTCTAGCTCCAGCTCTACCTCCAGTCCCGGGTGGCGGCGGCTCAACGCGGCCCAGGCTTCATCAGGCAGGGGGGGCGCGCGTGCGTCTTCCGGACACGCGCACCGCAGGGCGAGGAGCTCGAAAGGCGCGCGCTCTGGCGCCGCCAGTGCCTCGAGCGCGGTGCGCGACAGGCTGGCCAGGTGCAGGCCAAGGGCGCACAGGAAGGGGCAGGCCTGTAGTAGCTCGAGCACGGAGCCCGGCCCCACGCTGCCCACCAGCGTTCTGTTATCCAGGAAAAGGCTGCGGAGCTCCGGACAACCGTGTGCCACCTGCAGCACCAGCGCGTCGTCCAGTGAGAAGGGCAGGCGTCGCAGGTCGAGGTGGCGCAGCGCGCGGGCCGCCCCACAGAGGGCGTGCACCGCGTCCAGGACGTCGCGGCCGGCGTCGAAGAGCGGCTTTTCTCCGCGGCACTCCAGGCACAGGCCTCGCAGCCCGGGGGTACGGCCCGTCAGTGCAGTCAGTAACTCCGTGGCCGCCCGGCGACTCGACTTCCTCGACGGCTCAAATTCCAGCCATAGATTCTGAATGTGGTCCAGGCAGGCGGACAGATACGGCGGCAGCATGCCTTCCAGCTCACAGTCGCAACTTGGGGGTAGAGTGGTGGAGAAAAGGCATCGGCCGGCCAAGTCCCTGCGACCTGGCGAGAGGTCTCTAACCCACCTCTCTCTCTGGGTTCCGGTTACCATCCCCACTTCTGCCCCCTGCCCACAAACCTCCCTGTTCTGCCCGTGCTTGGTCGCTCCTACGTAAGCTAGGAGGGAGCCCTACCCCTTCCTTCAGATGCTTCTGCCACCAGTTGAAACCGTGCCAGAGAGAGGCAAGGTATTTTAGAAAATGGGCTTTCTCATGGGTCTTTCAGGAGGCGGGGCGGGGCCAGGCCTCTGGGCTGCCGCATTCACATTCTGCCTGTTACTTCTCAGTTGAGTGAGGAAGTAATTAAATCTCTCTGCCTCATTTTTTTTATCTGTGCGATGGAGATAATAATGCTACCCGTCCATCACATAAAGTGTTTGTGAGAATTAGAAAGACTGGTATACCAACCATTAGAACAATGGTTGGTACACAGTAGGTGGCCAATGTTAGAAATGACCCTTTTTAATATGGGGAGGAGTCACAGCATCTCCCCAACCTCAGACTCTACCAAGACTGGGAGAAGGTGGGAGGGGGAAGAGACTGCTCACCTGATGCTCGTGTCGTGCCACACAGCGCTGCAGGTGGCAGCGGCAGCCCAAGCTCTGCAGACCCTCGCTGCAGCAGCGCGGTCGGGCAGGGGCAGGTGGCGGAAGATGAGCGCCAGCACCTCCTCCGGCAGCTGTTCTCCAGGCTCGGCCATGGCCAGGTGGGCCCCCTCCCCTGCAGGAAGGCCACAGTGTTGAGGGGAATACCTGGAGCCTATGTGTAGAAATGTTTGGGGCCCAGGATCCGCTATGTAAATTTGCAGAGCCCAGTGCAAAGTGAAAATGTGTGTCTCTCTGTTTAAAATATTATCGAGGATTTCAAGACCGTGACAGCAAATCATTTAACCAAGCTATTAAACCAAGCCTGGGGCTCTGTACACAGATCTCAGACGCATGTGGTCTGACTGAGAGGCCGAGCATTTCTGATTCTTCCTTTAAACTACGTTCTCACTTGTTGAACAAATGCACATTTTATAATACTCTATTAGAAGGAACTCAACCACGACCCGTGCACCAGGTTGATAAAGCCAAAATACCCGGATTTGGGACGATGCTGTCAGATCTTTCTCCTAGTCACCAATGCCTTCTCTGAGGAAGCTGGAGGGCCACTGCCCAGGCCCTGACTCCAGACCACCACGTCTTCCCCAACCCCTCGCCCCCGTCTCCCTCTACCGCACCATCACGGCGGCCAGAGAACCCGGACTAGTCTCACAGAGTCACTGAACTGCTTGCCTCCCAGCTTAGACCCTGAGTACTTAGGGAACGATGGAGCCCAAACACCAAGGACCGTTGAAATGGCTTCTCAAAGGACGCTGGGCACCAGAATCACCCGGACTTTTGTTCACACTACAGATTTCATGGCCCTACCTACTAAATCAAGCTCTCCTCAAACAGTAGGGCACAGGAATCTGAGTTTCAACAAGCGCAGATGTATACCACAGGTCCCAAATTGAGAAACCCGGTCCTAGCCCCACCCGTCACCAGAGAGTGACGGCAGGGTTAATAGGGCGGGAACATTAAGGAAAACTTTTAATTGGCAGGGACCAGGAGCCAATCAGGAAGCAGAGGTGCGGGCGGGGCGTAGCTGAATCCGCAAGGAGAAGGGAGGCTCCTTCCTCCACTTCACTGGGGGAGACAATTTGGGTTCTTCCAATGAGAGGCCAGCGAGGCGGAGAAAATCTTGGGGTTGTGGGGGCCTGAGGGACTCTGGGTTCAAATTCCGATCCTGAACCCCGAGCAGCCCAGGCACCCGTTGGGCGGTTTAGGCTCAACTGGAATTCCGCAGACCCACATCAGAGCGCGGCCTTTGTTGGAGACTGTGTGTCCTTTTTGAAGTTGCCAATTTTAGTTTAAGGTGCTTAAAGGTTTTCGTAGACAACGTTTGACGCCACTGGCCAGCTTTCTATTTTCCCATATTTTCTACGCTAACGGTCCCTGCTGGAATTTGTGTCTCGAGTACCCGGGAGTTTCTGATACCCTCCGCCACGCTTGAACTTGGCACCCAGTTCAGAGTGTCAGGTAGAATCAGAGATCAGGGATCTTCGAGCTCGACCACCCAGAAGGGGACGTCCCCTCGTTGCTCCGTCCGTTACCCGCTGGAGGAAGAGGATCGGCTCTCACCCTGGGGCCCTCCGGCCTCGTAAGAACCTCAAGTCCTCGAAGTCCCTTGCCGCGGGCAGTTCCGCCGGCTGTTTGACCTCAGGCGCCAGTGTCTTACCTGCGCAGCGGATCGGGTGGGCTTTGCCCAGAGGCTGGGGATTGGCAGCAGAGGACGGTGGCGGGAAGGAACGGCGGGGAGCCCGGGGGGCGGGACGCCGGGACGGACGGGGCGGCTCGGACTGGGGCACCGCCCCTGCGCTCCGCGCACACCCGGAAGCAGCGCGAGTCCAGTGGAAGCCGGCGGGCGTGGGAATCCAGGCCGGGCCAAGGCGGCCAGGTTAGTGCAGGGGGTGGGTGGGCTTTCCGTTGCGGGCAGGAGCCAGGGGGATCCTGGCTCAGGAGCACGGGCGCGGTGCGGTTGTCACCCGCGGCTGCCGGGGCAGGTGGTGGTGGTCGTGGTGGTGGCCTATTGAGCTGTTTCCGTGGGAGGCTGGAGAGAGGGTACCGACGTTGGCCCCTGCCTTGTCCCAGCTAGGGGCTTTCAAGGGGCGGCAGAACCCTCTGGGTGAGAGGACGGGGTGGGGCTGGTTCTGAACAGACATTCGAGTAGAAACCCCTTGCCGGTCAGAGCCAGTAGCAGGCGCGAAACTCCAGCAGGAGGGTGGGCTAATGGGAGGCCGGGGAGCTCCTCTCTAGAGCTCGTGAGAGGCTTTGCTTGAGTAGATGATGGAACTCGCAGCTTTTCAGGCCTTGAGAGGCCACGCCCGCAGGTCGTCACCGCCTAGCCGGCCAGAAGTGGGGCTACTCAGGAATGTTATTGTTCAGTCACTAAGTTGTGTCCGACTCTTTGCGACCCCGTGGACTGTAGCACGCCAGGCTTCCCTGTCCTTCACCATCTCTCAGAGTTTGCTCAGACTTATGTCCACTGAGTCAGTGATGCCATCGAACCATCTCATCCTCTGTCAGTGTTAATGGAGCGCTGCACCGGCTGGCTACCGATGGCAGGGGCATATTTTCCTGAGTCGGTACCCACGTGTCCCTTACGGTCTCAGCCCAGCTAAGGGTTCCCAGGACCCCGGCGGGCCCCGCTGATAGAGAGGCGGACCCCAGGTGGGTGGGGCGCGGGGCTTCCCGAGGAGGGGCTTCTGTGAAGGGACACAGAGTTCCCAAGGGGGCTTAGTGAGCCAAGGCCCGCCCCTCATCCCGCCCCACCCCTGCCACTTCTCAACCGTTACCAGGCTGTTTGCCTTCTCCCGTTCCAGTCCTAGACAGTATGACAGAGATTCCCCCCCTCCTCTTGGTTTGCAGTGTCCTGCAGGCAGGCCAGCTGGGTAGAAGACTGTCTGGTCCTGCCCTTACTTACCCACCCTATGGGGTCAGCACCCTCCAGTCAGGGGGCTAGGAAGATGTCAAAGGGGAAATGTTTTGGGGCCAGGTTCCCACTTCTCCACTCTGGGCCAATACCCCAGGGCTTCCCACTTGTCTCCCTACTGCTCTTGGTCCCAGTTGTCATCCACCCCGTTTTTGTTTTGTTTTGCTTTTTAAGAAAAACAAATATGCCTTTTTCATACAAAATAAATGTCTCTATTTCACATAAAGTATAATATTTAAATAAAATGAAAATAAACATCACCTCAATATCCCCCTTCCCCAAGAGAAATAAACAGTACTAATTTCTTGTTAATTTCTATTGTTTTTGGATAAACACACAAGTATTAGTAAGTTTTCTTACTAATTATGGGAGGAGCTGGTCAAAAGGTATGTTCCCTGTGCTCAAACTCAGGGTAGGGTTATCAGGTATCATTCTCCCTGCCAGGTCTGGGTGAAGGTGGAGGATGCCATTTCTCTTTTCCTTTATTATTACTATTTTTTAAATTTGCCAGCTGCACTGCACAGCTTGAAGGATCTTAGTTTCCTGACCAGGGATTGAGCCAAGGCCCCTGGCAGTGAAAGCACCCCCAGGGAATTCCCTTGAACCCATTTTTCTTAAAAAAGGGTATAATGTTGCCTCAGGTAAGGGGTGAAGGAAGAGGCAGGGCAGTTCTCCACCTGTTGCTCATGGTGCTGTAGCTGGGAGGCCACTGACAGGCCACTGCCATGGCTGACTAAGAATTTTGCTCCTTGATCTATAGCTAGGATTTTGTCGAAGATAGATTAGAGGAGATGCTAATGCCAAGGGCCCTGACTGTGTTTGGACAGAGAAGGAGCCTGTAACAGAACAACTTGAATGGCGTCAGACAACAGACTATCTCCCAGAACTTGAGACTAAAAAGGAAGGATTTAGTTCACATAACAGAAAAGTCCGAGAGGCAGCTAGAGCCGGGGACACAGTGTGGTGCACTTCTTCATCTCTTGGCCCTGCAGCTTTCTGTGCCAGTTTCATTCTTGGTCAGGCTGAGAATAGCAAAGGAGACCTACCCTTCCTTCTAGCTCAGCTTCAACATAGGAAAGGGAAGCTTGTTCCTCTTTCCTGTTGCTTTAGTTGCTAAGTTGTGTCTGCCTCTTTTGAGTCCATAGACTGTAGCCACCAGGCTCCTCTGTCCATGGAATTCTCCAGGCATGAATACTGGAGTGGGTTGCCATTTCCTTCTCCACATCTTCCCAACTCAGGGATTGAACCCAGGTCTCCTGCATTGAAGGCAGACTCTTTACTGACTGAGCCAACAGGGAAGCCCAAATTGCAGGTTGATTCTGATAGGTCCAGTATGAATCCTGTGCCCAACTCAGAACAAACCATTTCAGGAAGGTGAATGGAAGATGCAGATTGGTTAGGCTGGACGTCAGGAGTGAGATTAGCCCTTCCAACAGGCCTATGGATTGAGTAAAGGGAAGAGGGAAGTCCCCAGAGGTTAGTCAGGACTCGGGGAGAGAATCTGGGCAGGCGCAAACTACAGGTGTCCTTTGAAGTGAAGCCAGGAGGTACAGCAGGAAGGCCAGCGAAGAAACCTAGGTTGGTGTGGGGGGGGGGGGGGCTGTGGAATCCCTGCAGGGATCCTCAAATTTGAACTGAGGGCATACCAGGACATGAGTCTGGTTGTGCTGTGGGGTGTGGGCACCATCCAGGAGGGTGTCTCCAGTCAGTTTTGAAAAGAGAGACACCCTCCCCTGAGGAGGGGGCAGAACTTTGCTTTTACTGCAACACTGTCCCTCTCCTCACCCCTGTGACCTTGGGCTCTTTCTCAGAGAAGGCAGTGGAGGTACAGTCCTGACTACAACTCTTAGCTGAGCTGGGGCCAGAAGCACAAGAAGCTGCCGAGGGGATTATGAACTTACCTTCACAAGCGTGCCAGCTGAGTGGGGACAGCTGGGTGACGTGGGACTGGACAGCTGTCTCCAGGGCTGGGCCAGGGGTGATCTGAATGCCTATCTCTGTTCCCAGGAGGCAAGATGGCGGCTGGGCCAAATGGGCTTGAGGAGTGGGTGGGCAGCGCGTACCTGTTTGTGGAGTCCTCGCTGGACAAAGTGGTCTTGTCCGATGCCTACGCTCACCAGCAGCAGAAAGTGGCAATGTACAGGGCTCTCCGGACTGCCCTGGCAGGTGTGTGGCTGGGCAGGCACTTGGGGAAGAAAGGGGGGCCTGGGGCCTTTTGTGGGCGGGGCCAGAGACTAAGACCCCCACCTCTTCAACTCTGTGGGCTTGTGTTTAATCACCGCTTTGAAGAAAAGATTCCTTGGGGATGACAGGAGAAGGATGCCTGGTTATGTAGGGTCTTTCTTCTCTGGCACGCATAAGTGCCCTTGGGTATAGACTTGTGTCTCTGTGTCTGTGTATAGTCTACCTATGTGTGCACTAATATCCCCCTACTCCATGCCCCCCCCCCCCACTCCCCAGATCAGGCCGCTTGCTCACTGCTTTCTAATTTTACCACTCTCTCTCTTCTTTTCCTCTCTCACTGCAGCACTCCTTGCCCAAGATCCTTCCCCAGTACCTCCCTTTCCAGCCTACTTTTCCCATCTCAGGGTTGAGGCCACAGGAGGTTGAAGCTGGTTGGGGGATCTGGCCCCAGCCTCAGACCAGCGAGAGCCCCTCTCCTTGGGAGGAGGGCAGCAGTACTAGGAGGCAGAAGACCTGAAACCCGCCTACTGCATGGCCAGCTGCCTACCCAGAGGTCTTGGCTGCCCAGGGCAAACGCCCCTTTCTACGCTGCAGTCTCTTCCATGTCCCTTTTGCCCACCCTCATTTGAGGCTTCAGGGATGCGGCGAGAGTGGCACCCACTCCGTCTCAGAGTGATCCTTGTGATAGGTCCTGGCCTTTATTCTGGGTTGTTGCTGTTTACCTCCCCATTCTGCTTCCCAGCCAGGAGCTCTGAGGTATACCACGCCCCTAGGTGTCTGGGGGTGGGGAAGGCATCTCATCTCGGGCTTCATTCCTTCTCCGGCCTCATGGAGCATGGCCCCGCATGGGGACTGCATGGCGCCTGACTGCCCGCCTCCGCAGAGAGTGGCGGGAGCCCCGACCTGCTGCAGATGCTCAAGATCCACCGCAGCGACCCGCAGCTGATCGTGCAACTGCGTTTCAGCGGGCGCCAGACGTGCGGCCGCTTCCTCCGCGCCTACCGCGAGGGGGCGCTGCGAGCCACGCTGCAAGGGTGCCTGGCTCGGGCACTGGCCCTGAACGCGGTGCCGCTGCAACTGGAGCTGCATGCTGGCGCCGAGCAGCTGGATGCCGTGTTGACCGACGAGGAGCGCTGTTTGAACTGCATATGCGCGCAGAAGGTGCGGCCGGGCTGGGGCCAGGGTCGGGTGGGGCGGGAATTCGCTAAGGAGACCTCCACCGACGCCACACTCTCCTCTCTAGCCTGACCGGCTCCGGGATGAGGAACTCACCGAGTTGGAGGATGCGCTCAGGAATCTGACTTGCGGCTCGGCAGCGGGCCAAGGGGGCGACGTGCAAGGCACTCCAGCCCCCTCGCAGTCTCTGGCACCTTCTCCGCCAGAGGAGAAACCGCCACCCCCGCCGCCTGGCCAGACTTTTTTCTTCCAGGGTCAGCCCATAGGTGAGACTCCCGGAGAAAGGGAGAGGCAGGATCCTCAGGAGGATGAAGCTTGGGGAGGGGCGAGGTCTGGGCGGGGTAGTCACGGCGGGAATGGAAGGGTATCCCAAGCTCACTCCCTCCCCACTCTCTCTGCAGTGAACCGGCCGTTGAACCTGCAGGATCAACAGAAGTTCGCCCGCTCCGTGGGCCTCAAGTGGCGCAAGGTGGGGCGCTCTCTGCAGCGCAGCTGCCGCGCGCTGCGGGACCCGGCGCTGGACTCACTGGCCTATGAATACGAGCGCGAAGGGCTGTACGAGCAGGCCTTCCAGCTGCTGCGGCGCTTCGTGCAGGCCGAGGGCCGCCGCGCCACGCTGCAGCGCCTGGTGGAGGCGCTCGAGGAGAACGAGCTCACCAGCCTGGCTGAGGACTTGCTGGGCCTGGCGAACCCTGACGGCGGCCTGGCCTAGGCAGAGTACCAGAGAAAGGGGAGGTCGGTCAGTTGCCCAGCCAGGGTTTGGAGCATCTGGATGACCGTAGGGTCCCTCCTGCTGCTACTGCTGACCTCTTGTCCACCACGTGACTCTGAGACCACACTTAGCAACCCCACTTAGTTGAGTTGCTGGAGCTGCTGCGCAGAGATGATGGCGGCCCTCTCCAGGAGTCAGACAAGCACCCACCGTGTCTGCTGGGGTGCTAATGGGCAGTTGTGTTCTAGATACTAGGACAGAGACAGAGTGAATTGGTGTCTGTCCTAGTATCTAGAACAGACCTGCTGCAAGGTCTGCTTCACCTTTTCCCACCCTAGAAGGGTTTCAGCCAGACTTTACCTCTTCATTCATTATTATTCATTAAGGACCTGCTGTATCCTAGGCATCATCCTGGGTGCTGCAAATACTGTGGTGAACAAAACACACGAATCTTGTCTGTCGTCAGTTCACGATCAGTGTGGGACTCTGAATATAAAGTAATAAAATACTACTCATTTTTTGGATGTGAAAAATACAAGGCATTGTGGGAACAAATGAGCAGGGGCCTCACCCAGGTTAGGGGGTTAGGCTTCCTTGGGGTGAGATGAGTGTGAATATTGGGGCGGGGGAGGGGTGGAATGAGAGAAGGGCAGTATTCTGGACATGGCCAGCCTCAGGTGAAGTCTTGAGGAAGGTGGGAGGAAGGGATGTTAGAACAGAAGGTTTACAGTGGCTGGATCTAGGAGTGGGTGGATTTGCAGAGACCCATTGGAGAGTGGGGGAGGCAGAGAGTATGGGGTCTGGGAAACCATTTTACAAGAGTCTGGATTTCACCTGGAGGCAAGTGAGAGGCCTTTAAAGGGGTTTGACAGTTCAGGCTGGGAGTGAGGATTCAGAGGGAGAGAGAGTACAGTCCCCAGGCTGAGGCAGTTGGCAGCAGAGATGGAGGAAAAGGATGAACACCGAGAGCTGTTTAGGACAAAGGACAACAGGCCTGGTGACACTAAAAGAGGAGAGGGGGGAGAGGACTCCAGAGTTTCTGATTTTGCCAGTTAGATGGGAGGAGGGATCTGCCTGCTGAGACAGGGGCCCTGGGGAAAGTGAAGCACTTGCTCTGTTTGGGACTAGCTGGGTGCGATGTTCCTGTCGAACACCCAGAGTTCAAGGATGGCTAGAGCTGTAGTTTTGAGTTCAGGAGAGGGTCAAGGCTAAGGACTCCAAAACGTACAGGTGGGTGTGGGTGGGACAGCCCAGGGGGAGGTCCTGAAGGACGCCAACTGGAAAAAAGAACGACCCAAAGAGGAAGGAGGAAAACCAGATTTGGAAGCCAGAGGAATGGCTCTCCCTGCTGTGATGGAGGCTGAGAATTTGTGAAGGCCGAGGAGTGTCCACTGGAGTCAGGGGAAAGGTTACTAGGTGGAGGCTGTGTCTGGGACATAGTGGGGACAGCCTGATACCAGACTACGGGAGGGATGGGATGGAAGCAGTAGAGAAAGCCACAGATAGGAGAGGACGCCTGAAAAGTCTGTGAGCAGGAGAGTGAGGCCCAGGATGGAGGGTTTATTTTGGAAGGGAGAACATTGGTGAGAAGAAGTCAGAAGGAGCAGTCATAGCCACGGGGAAGGAGGATGGCGCTGGGTAGCAGTGCTGGTTCCCTAGTCTGCCCTCAGAAACTCCGGGGTGGGGGGGATGCGGTGGGGTTGTCTACTCCAGGCCCCACTGCATGGGCTGGGACCTGGAGGCTCTGAGTTCCAGGGAGAGAGAGGTGGCAGCATAACTGGGCAAGGCCTGGCCTCTCAGTCTTCACCTCTCTGCCCCAATGGGTTCCCATCAAACCCTTTGCACACTGACCTACTTCGGGAGTTCCCCAAGCTGAACCAATCCCTGCCAGCCTGTCTGGACTGCAGTGGGCCCAGGCGTGGTGATTTCCTCCTGCAGTAGGCTATGCTGGCCTGGGCCACTAGGGACTAGAGGACTCAGAACTGCCTCTGCGAAGAAAGATTGAAGTGCTCATCTGTGAAGTTATGCAGACAGGGTTGGCCCCCTCTCCTGTATCCCTGCGGATGGGTAGGCAGAGGGGCAAGGGAGACAGAGGAAAGAGTCCTGGATGGAATTCCAGAAGTCCTGGGCAGTGCTCTTACCTTCTGTCTGTCTGATCCGGGGCGAGTCACCTGACTCCCTGAGAAGGAATATCCCCATCTGGGCATGACCCATGACAGCTGCTGCCAGGGCTGTGAGAACTCAGCAAGCAGTCCTCTTGGTCCTTGTGTGTGTGCTGTCTGCTGGCGGGCCTGGCAGAACCAGGAGAAAGGCGGCTCCACGTACTTGGGGAACCAGGGCTTCTGGTATGCATAAAAGAGGCACTTCCAAGGATGGCCTGGGAGGGGCCGGGGGATGCCAAGCCCGCCTGCGCTGGGGCTCCCTTCCGGCTCCCTTCTGGCTCCGGAGAGGCAAGGGTGGGGAAACTAACCAAAAAGGCTAGTGCTTCTTCCTGTCCCCTGGAAAGGCAGAATTGGGGAGTTTAAGTCAGAACGAAGACCAGAACTCACCTCTCTGAGCCTTCCGGAGAGAGAGCTGACCGTGAGGATCCCTTTCAGAGATTAGTCTCCACTTGGAGACAGCGTTCCCGCGGCGCCAGGGCGGAGCTGAGCTCCAGATGTCCGGGCGCACACAGCTGTAGGGTCACGTGGCAGCGGCCCTGGTCCCCCTTCCTGCCAACGTTGCATTTGGCCCAGGCCCCGTCTATGGCCGCCCTTGGGACCCTGCGCTGAGCCCCGGAGGCCCTGGCATCCGGGGCCGCGCCACTCCCAAGGGCCGAAGGTGTGTCAGGATCCCAAGGACCGCCGTGGTGGGTAGGGATGGGTGGAAGGGATTCGGCCTCAGCGCGGGAAGAGGGTGGGGCCGAGGCTCCGCGTCTCTCGGCCTCGGCTCTGGGGCACCGTCCTGGGCCGGAGCTGAGAGGGTGGCAGCCGGCTAACAGGAAGAACCTCTTGTCTTTTCAGGGTGTCCATCCCAGTGGGGGGAGTTAGGGTCCAAAATAGAAGGACCCTGGAGGGGGGTGAACGACCAGTAGCCGGAGACCCCTGGCCTGTGGCCTCCCGCGGCCTCCCCTCCGGGAGCGCCGGGCGGGAGCCCCCGCCGGCTGTTAGCTTCCACGTCGCGAGCCCCTGACTGAGTCTCTCCGCAGGAGGCGCGAGCGCCGGTCAGGCTGACATGAGGCGGAGGCTGCGCCTACGCCGAGAAGCGTTGCTCACGCTGCTCCTCGGCGCCACCCTCGGCCTCCTGCTCTACGCGCAGCACGAAGGCACGGCCCCGACGACGAGCTCGCCGCGAGCACAAGGGAGGACGGCGCCGGGGCCCACTCCAGGGCTCCGTGTATTTCAGGCCCCGGACACGGGTGCAGCCCCTCCGGCCTACGAAGGGGATACGCCAGAGCCGCCCACGCCCACGGGACCATTTGACTTCCGCCGCTATCTGCGCGCCAAGGACCAGCGGCGCTTCCCTCTCCTCATTAATCAGCCGCACAAGTGCCAAGGAAATGACGCGTTCCCCCGCGGACCCGACCTGCTCATCGCCGTCAAGTCCGTGGCGGCGGACTTCGAGCGGCGCCAGGCCGTGCGCCAGACGTGGGGTGCTGAGGGGCGCGTGCAGGGGGCGCTAGTGCGCAGGGTATTCTTGCTGGGCATACCCAGGGGCACAGGCACAGTTGGGGGTGAGGCGGAGGCGGGCACTCAAACGCACTGGAGCGCCCTGCTGCGTGCCGAGAGCCGCGCGTACGCGGACATCCTGCTCTGGGCCTTCGACGACACTTTCTTCAACCTAACGCTCAAGGAGATCCACTTTCTGGCCTGGGCTTCCGCCTACTGCCCCGATGTGCGCTTCGTTTTTAAAGGCGACGCCGACGTGTTCGTGCACGTGGGAAACCTGCTGGAGTTCCTGGCGCCGAGGGATCCGGCGCAGGACCTGCTTGCAGGTGACGTGATCGTGCAGGCGCGGCCAATCCGCGTGCGGGCCAGCAAGTACTACATCCCCGAGGCTGTGTACGGCCTGCCAGCCTACCCGGCCTACGCAGGCGGCGGCGGCTTCGTGCTCTCGGGGGCCACACTGCGCCGCCTGGCCGGTGCCTGCGCGCAGGTTGAGCTTTTCCCCATCGACGACGTCTTTCTGGGCATGTGTCTACAGCGCCTGCGCCTCACGCCTGAGCCTCATCCTGCTTTCCGCACTTTTGGCATCCCTCGACCTTCAGCCGCACCGCACCTCCACACCTTCGATCCCTGTTTTTACCGTGAGCTGGTTGTAGTGCACGGGCTCTCGGCTGCTGACATCTGGCTTATGTGGCACCTTCTACACGGGCCGAACGGGCCAGCCTGTGCGCGTCCATGGCCTGTTCCTGCTGGCCCTTTCCAGTGGGGCCCCTAGCCTCCTGTCACAGCTCTAAGCCCCCCTCATTCAGACCTAGGATATAAGTGGGAGATAGCCTGAAAGGTAGATTTCCCAGGCGGGTTAGTGCTGTGTGTTTCTTCACCAGAAAGGGGTATCCAGGTGTCTGCCTTCAGAAGGCCCAGGGAATGAAGACTGAGCTTGGCTCCTGCTGACCCTCTCTACTGGGCGGTGATCTGGAACCAATCTAATGGTGGCACAGATAGCCAGGGCTGAGGTGGTGGAGAACCAGGCTCTTTGCCAAGCAGGTGAACATGCTTGGTCCTCCTAGCAGGGATGTGTGAGTGTATGTATGGGGGGAGGGGTGGCAGCAGAGACTCATGCTGTCTGACCATGCTCCTTAGTTTAGAACCCCTAGAGTGATGCCAACAAATGCAGGTCTTTCTCAAGTCTGGACCCCACAGGGAGGGGGTAAGGGCCTGGCCTTAGTACTCATGGAACTGGCAGCCATTCTGCCACAACTCAATCTGAAAGTAGGTGTTTTGCTTCCTATCTGCCCCTCCAGTTTGCAAATTGGAGTCTTAGCTCTGCCTAGGTCTTTAGATCTGCTTTCCTGGCCCAGCCCCTCCTGAGCCCTGGAGTAGGGGGAACACCTGGGATGGAGGCACACAGGGACTCGGCACACCGTCCTACCTGAGGTCTCCCCCCACCTCCAGCTACCCCCGGGAGAGCCTGCACCCATGCAGCTGTGCACCTGTGCAACCCACTGGAGTCTGTGCTGCCCCCTTCGGAGGAGCCAAGGAACCTCTTCTAAGATGATGCCAGCTCGAAAATTCCCCATCTTCTTCAACCACCCCCTTTCTCAAAAACAAACAAACAAAAAACACACCAATGCCTCCAGGCTTATTTTAGTACAAACATCCCAGCAACAGCACATGGGGAGCTGTTGCTGAGGGCATGTCTTTATTGGAGGAGGGGTAGGGTAGGGCATGAGGAAGATTCCCCCATTCTAGGAGGATGGGGAGAGTCCTGGCTGCCCCACAGTGGGATGTGTGGGGGTCTTTGGCCAGGCCACCGTCCACACAGGAAGACACCAATCAGTCACGAAGTCATGGGAACGTCACACAGGAGCCCGGGGCTGGTCCCCCGCACATTCATTGTTAAACTATACAGGATGAGGCTGTACATGAATTAATTACAAAAGAGTCGTATTTACAAAAATCTGTACACACATTTGAAAAACCTCACAAAATTGTCATCTATGTATCACAAGTTGCTAGACCAAAATATTAAAAATGGGATAAAATTATACATTTCTCTTCTCAATTCTTTTCAAAAGGATTAATATTTTTTAAAGCACATATGCTTCTTTCCTTAGCAAGTCCCACAAAGAGGGAGCAGCCCAGCCCTCCATGAGTCCCAGAGGCCTTGAGCCGTGTGAAAGGGCCCGGCCAGGGGACACTGCCCAGAGTCAGGGCAGGAGAGCCAAGCCCACAGTGCAGAACAGAATGCTGAAACACACAAAAAAGGAGGAAGATGTCTTTGGCTAAAACTTTGGCATTAAATAAAAGAGGCAAACAGAATGGAAACATGCAGCCCCACCAGCCACGTTGGGGCAGAGCAGGGGGACAGGCGACCTTGAAGGCTTGCTCCAAGACGGGTGGAGCCAGGCCTGGGCACGTACCTTGACGGTAGAAAGTTGTGTTTCAACCACTTGGGTGTGCCTACTGGGTCTGGCAGGGAGCGCATGCAAGAAAGAAACAGGGAAGGGCAGGTGGGCCACCTTGGCCACAGCCAGCTCATCAAGTAACTAAAGTGGATGTAGTGCAAAAGTCGCAACCAAGTACGATGGACATGCTACCTGCTTGCTTTAAAGGTCACGTGGCAATGTTGGGCCAAAGGCAGGACCGTGTCCTTGTCTGGGTGCCTGTGTTCTCAGCCATAGAAAAGTCCCAAGTTTTCCCAATGTGTGGGACAGGGAGACAGAACCCTGTCCCCTCACATGTTAGTTGAGAGCTCCCGGCTCCAGGTATCAAGGCTCAGAGTTGTGCTTCTCCTTGCAGTCTGTGTCCCCTGTTGGCACCAGCAGGCTGAGAATGGACTGAGGAATATCTGGGCCTCTCACCCCATGGCAGAGTGCCCAGCCTGAGCCCCACCTCAAAACACCACAACAGCCCTTCCACACCGGCAAGATGTCCAAGAAAACCCACTGAACAGGATGCAATGCACAGTTCCACAGGGCAGAGGGGCAAGGGTCATGTCGTTCCTAGGGGAGCTCCGCAGTTCTCAGGTGGGCACCAGGTCTGGGGGGGCCATAGAGGGTCACCGAGGCAATGTGGTTGTTCTGCATGACCTGGCGTAAGAAGAGGACAGTGAGTTGACGGGGAGGAGTCGAAGGGATGTAAGCACAGCAAAACTCCCACAAAACCCCCAGTGGGATCAGTCCTGGGCTGTGACAGAAGAGAAGGCACTTGAGGCAGCGCCTGTGTGTGCAACACACTTGCACATGGGGCTGGAATGACCCCTCAACATCCCCCAGCTCGTGCTAGGTGTCATCTCTGCCCGTGTCTACCTGTTCCTCCAGGACACATAAACTTTACCATATCCATCTGTCCAGCCCTTCTGGAACTGCTAGGAGTCTGCTGAAGGTATGGCAACCAGATGGGAAAGCAGGGGCAGCCCATTCTTCTCCCAGCCAGTGGGGCCTCAAGAGCCACTCGGCCCACCGCACATTCATTCATGTGGCATTTAAAGACCATCTCCCAACGCCCCTGGACAGAGCCCCACTTTCCCTGCAGTTCCCTTTGCTATTGTACTCATGTTTTCAAGTATAAATATGGGCTCCCCATTTCCCCTCATCTTGTTGGATGAGCCTGCCCAGTAGGGCCTTCAGGCCCTCCCCAATCTCTTCCCCATCACTTGCCTGTCCTTGCCACGATCACCAGCCACTCAACCCCCAGGGCTTACCTCAAAGATCATCCGCTGAAGACCAAAGCAGAACGTGGAGCCAAAAGGGTTGGTGTTGTTTGGGGACGAGGACCTGAGGCCAGGGAAGCCAGAATTAGAGGGGCAGACAAGAGACCTAGGCCAGGTGGGGCATCCAGTTCCTTCTGGGGTAGGGGCTGTTAGCCAGTGGTCCCTCAGGGCTCCGAGTGTGTGTCCCACATGGGCTCTTGAGGGCCAAGGCACAGTGATGGATCTCACTCGGGCACCAAATCCTGTGCAGCCGCGCTGGCACAGAAGGGTATTATGCAACTGGACTGCGGTATACAGTCAGCAGGGAGATGGGGCCTCAGACAGCAGGGCAACCAGGTGCTGGGCTGTGAGCCAAAGCAGGCAGCAGGTGTGATGTGGACAGCCAGCCAAACTGCCTCCCTCTCTGAGTAACTGGAGGTGAAAGGTCCCTATACCTGGAGGGGGGAGCTATCCCAGGGGCAGCCCCTCCAGTTGCAAGTAAATGTGCAGAACTGTTGGCCGAGTTGTAACTCACAAGGCTTGGGCAGGAAGCGTGTGGCAACATCAGAAATTCCTGCTGGTTTTAAGCCATACCCACCGCTAGGGTTCCCAGTCCTTCTGGGCGGTGAGGAGCTGGGTGCGGCGATCAGAAAGCAACCCCCCACTCACCTGTGCAGGACCACAGGCTTCTCCACAGGGTGTCCCAGGAGCTCCTGGATGTTGTCCCACTACAAGAGGGATGAGGGTGACAGGGGATTAGCAGGGACCCGACCCCACTGTGACCAACAGCTGGCCCAAAGGACGCAGGCACCAGACTGCTGGTAGGCTCGTGGCCTCCCCATATTCAGACTGTGTCAGGTGGGAAAAACAGGAGCTCACCTTGCTGTAGGTTGTGCATGTTTCTGTCTGACCCTCTGTGTTTTCTGAAAAGAGAACACAGCATGGTTGGTAGCGGGCCTGGCCTGGATTCAGTTCCACATCTGCTCAGGTAGATGGCTCAGCCCACCTGCGACCCCAGCCCTAGCCGCCCTATACACTGGGATTCAAGTTTCGAAACCGCCAATCCCACAGGCACAGGATAAGACCTTAAGGGCTTCCAGGAGACTACGGACCAAGAACCACGTGGCTCCCAGAACCAAGAGCCCAACCCAGAGGAGCTGAGGCGCTGGGCAGAAGCAGGTGGGCAAAGAGTCCACACATCCAACCACTGCCACCCTCTCTGCTTGGATCATCATCTCTTCGATGCATGGGAGACTGACTCTAAAACCCTTTCCTTACCCTGAGGACACTGACCACTCACCTCTCTTTACGGTTAGGGGGATCTTGAACTCACAGCGGTGATAACTAGAGAGAGAAGGGAGATGGGTAAAGGTGGGACCCGCTGGGAGACCTGACCACCCCCACATCTCAACTCCGCACCCCAGGAAAAACAAGATCAAGCACACCTGCTCAAAGCCTTGGACAGGCCAGATTTGGGCCCTAGAGTCAAACCAGAAAGGGCACAGCCAGGGGGCTCTGAAGACCCTGTCACCTCGGATAAGAGGCCAAGCTTTCTGAATCCATTTCTCTATTTGTAAAATGGGTATAAATGGAGAGATATAAGGTAATGGACACTATACCAGGAACAGAAAACACTCAGGAAATCGTTTACTTTTCATGAATTAGCAAACATCCAAGGCCACAAGCTCTCCTTCCTGGAGGGGTAGGTGCGGGTATACTCACATATTAAAATTATAATGTCCAGGGTAATTGGTATGTAGGACAAATTTCTTCACTTTGTGTGTATTCGCATCAAAGAGAATGTCCTGGGATAGAAAACAAGGGTGCTCAAGTGGGTAAAGTTACTGAGGCGGGCAGGGGGCTTTTGAGGGCATGTCCTACTCAAAGACACCCACTACACAATGGGGATGCCCTTGGGGAACAGCTCTGACCCAAACAGCAACCAAGGGGACAGCTGAGGCCTAGCGCGATGGGACGACACACACATCCAACCATCTCAGGCCTCCTCATTCCAAACCTTGTACCAGTAGGCCCCACAGGGACACAGGGCTACCGCTCCCACTGTTTGGGAACTCAAACATGGTCAGGGAGATCTTCCCTGACAAAAAGCACCAGATTAAAAAATGTAACTGAGCACAGATTTTGCCTTAAAAGCTAATGAGAAGATTCAGGACCCCCTTGACTGTCAAGGGGCTCAAGGCACCTGGTTGTTCTGAAAGCCAGGACCAGCCAGATCCTTCTGGCTTCCAAAGGCCAGCACAGTTAAAGCTGCAAGTGTACACACAGGCCTGCCCAGCACACTGCACACTCCCAGGGAAATCAAACACTTCTCTAAGGAATCACAGCTTACCACTCCGAGAGTGAAGTAGTTAAAAAAGTAGTCATTGCACTTGGATGGAACTTGCTTATGAGGGGAAGGAGAATGAATCTTCATCTGTTGGGGAAAAAATAACAGTGAATTAAAATCCAATCCATTAATACAGGTCTTGGATGAAATGAGTCTACAAGTTGTGTTTCTTGTGTGACAGTCATCTGTTGGGTAAGCAAGAGTGTGGGAGTCCCCGACGCTGGTGCTAAACAACCCAGACAGCTTTGGTTGACTACAGACTGGGCCCTGGTCTCCAAGGAAAGGCAGGACAATCTGACCAACAGGGGTCAGAAGAGAGCTTTCAATTTACTTCTCCATCAGTTTTTTACTTTTTTTCCATTAGCTTTAATAGAACAGGTTCTCTGGGAAAACAGCAGTTTATATTTATTCACTATTAAGTTTAAGTTGATTAAATAAAAAGAGAGAGATTGCCTATTCACTTTAAAAACACATTTCCCCTACCTTATCTTCTGACTTGTAGAAGACCTTGTGTGGAGAGCCAAGCATGCTAAGAACATCCTGACAAGAATCACCAAAATACACTGAGCGTTCAAATACCCGCATCTTGGCATCTGCTAGCAGGCCAGGTCCACAACCTGCAGAGAACAAGTAGAGGTGGTCAGGTTCCCAGTCAGGGCCTGGAACCCTGCAGCCCAGGGTCTGGAGCTCCAGAGAGGCCAGTGGCTGCATGCTGCATTATCAGGTTTGGCTGAGGGGCAAGACTGCATGTAAGGAGAAACACCAGGTCACCAGGACTTGAGATACTACAGGAGATCACTATCTACTCAAAACAATGCCAGAGGCTCATTCAATCCCACAAAAGTAACATGGAGCTCTGGAGATGTCACTCACTGACTCACCAAATATTTAGTCATTGACACCCTGGGCTAGGACACTCTGCTAGATGCTGAGGGAACAACGGTGAGAAAAACAGGTGCAGTCTCTGCCTACGTTGGAGCTCATGGTATAAAGATTCTAATCAGACCATCACACAACTGCCATACAACAAACAGCAGCACAGGTGCTATGGAAATATACAAATAGGTGCCATTATCTCCTGCCACTTTCCGGTTCTCAAAAAGATAGAGGATTTACGATAAGAAGTACTTCTCAATGGTAACCTCCAACCTGAGACTGGACAGGAAGGTCACTCTATAAAAGAGCCAAGAGTTAAGCACCCACTAACTTACTCCCTAACTCTACAAACACTAACACTCAAAGAGACAAACCAGGAAAGTGGGTAAAAATGGAAAACCTGATTTGTCAAAGGTTTCTTCTTTGGGAACAATCTTTAAACTCTGAGTTTGTCTAATACATTTAAAAAATGATTCTGGTTAAATACCCACCCACCCACCCCCCCACACACAAAGTGGTTGTGGAATAGCAATGAACATATCAACAGTAAAATTTCCCTCATTCTGTGGATGGGAAGACACAGTGTTTTGCCCAAAATTATAAAAGGAAGCTAAGAATTTGAGGAGGAATAATTTCTGGTACCATGATAATCACCACTATCACCTTACTCTGCATAGGGCTTTACAGCTGACAAAGCTCTTTCTTGTACAATAAAAGCTGTTCCAAATCCCACTCCACACACACACACACACACACACACACACACACACACACACACACACAGCTGTGTGTAAATCAGGGGAAAGAAGCATAGTTCACATTAAGTTCTGTGTATAAATCCTGCACTTAGGTAAGCCTGGGTGACCTATGGAAACCACTGAAAGTCCTGTCAAGCTAGATGGTGTGCCCAAAGTCTGCGAGTACCAGATCCTTGTGAATGCCCACACAGGGCTGTGCGGGAGGCACCCTTCACAGGTGAGTCTCCTCTCTTGTCTGACTCTATCTGAAGTCTCCTCAAGTAAAGGCACCCTTAGTTTCTCAAGGAGATTATTTTAGTTTCTGATTCCCTTGAGTGAGTCCTCCTATACATTACTGTGGCGATCAGGACAGTTGAATGGCATCACTGTAGCCACACTCCACAGGAACTCTCAATGAGTACTGGGTGGGATAATAACTCCGTGAGGTCTCGACTTAAGGTGTTTTGTAGGCAGTGTGATGTGACTGCTGGGACTGTCCTGTCAGGGTGGTGGTCAGAACCGGCTGAGACCTCCTACTCTCAACAGGCTCCTCTTGCTGTCACCTGGTGTCTTATACTACCCTTGACTACCCCATTGCTTCAAGCAGCAAGCCTCCTGAGAAGACCTCATCTTCTTTTTTGAGACGCCACATCTCAATTCTTTCGAAAACTACAGTACAAGCACAATGCTCCTTTAAGTAGCTGGTGTTCTGCCATGGCTAGAAAACCACATTTTAAGAAATTTCTAACCTGGAGGTTTTGAACTGTCTAATTGTTCAGGGGAGTGAGTTTACAATTTATTTGCCAGATTCTTAGCAGTTGAGAACTGATGCCCCAGAGACTGAGGGAAGACCCCAGCTTACAAACAAAGGCTGGCTAGACTATGAGCTCCATGAAGGCACAGGTCCCTTCATGGAGCTCACAGTCCCCGGGTCATCTTTACGGAGGCAAACTCCACACTGGACGATCTCTGTACCCCTAAGCATAATCCAAAGTTTGAAGGAGCTGAGACTGTCCACACAAGAAAATCACAGGATGAGGTGTGGATTTTAGAGAGACTGGCTACTGAAGGCAGCAATTCTTTTTGTTTGCAATCAGCAAAACTGAGCAGGGTATGGCCAAATCACAATTCAACAAGTCCCTCTTGCCAGTCTACTCTGAGAAATGAGCACAAAGGATGGAAAATGAGAGAACATGCAACACTGAGCCTATAAAATATACCTCTAAGACCCGGGCACCACTGCAAAACCACCTAAGTACACAGAGGCTGATGTACATGTCGAGGGAAGCAATTTTACTGTCATTTATAAGGGCTGCTCAAAATAAAACTATGTCTTATTCCTTCACAAACAAATGAAAACTTCTAACCATAAACGTTAGCACCATTTGTTTTCTACCAACTATCCCTAAGGACGTGGGATTTTAGACCATCTTGACAAGGCTATAATGGAGAACCCACCACCCCAAAGCCAGTAACTGACCTGCGGCAAGGAGGCGGAGTCGTAAACCTGAGGGTCCAGTTCCATCCCGGAGAACATCCACACTCTCAGCATACACATTGCCCAGGAAACAGCTCAAGGGCATCATGGGAGCCCTGGGGGCAGGCACAGAGTGAGCAGAGACTTTGTCCTCCCTCCCAGGGAGCCCATGGCCTTAGCATGAAGCCTGTGCTCCCCCACACATACTTGGTATCCTGTAGGCTGTTCCCACTGTAGATATACATTCGTTTCACAGTTGCTCCGTGGGGTATCTGAAGAGAAGCCAGGCCATGGGCAAAATTGGGCTGCAAACACAGGATAAATGTTTTACTAAAAGCACACTGCAGGCCCTGGCATTTTCCCAATACTCATGGTCTTGGAGAACTGGCCAGGTCACAAAAGTAGGGAATTTAGAAAAGGAATATCTCAGTTTCAGACACAACTGTACTACTGGTACTGCCTTTTTGGTATAAATTTTCTGTATCCATTTTCTCACTGGGTATTGTTACCTGCAGTGTGGAATGGTTTCTGAGAAACTTTGAAATTTGCTCGTTTTATTTATCAAGGTATTAAAAAAAAAAAAAAAGAACTGGACAGGTGAAAGCACAGTCTGATCTGTCTCCAGGTCAATAAATTCACTCAACCATGCAAGTTCATCTTTAATTTTACTGTTTTCCTTTCCTTCATCAGGGAGAACATGCAGAAATGCCTTCTTTAATAAAATGTAAAACTTACAAAAAACTACCATTTCGTAACACTAAGGATGCCACTGTTGAAGGATGAATTCTCTCAAATTCTAGGCCATTGAGAAAAACTGTGGTGATTTGGAGTTTTATAGCACACGACATGGATTTCCCTCTGAACAGCAAGCTTGACCTCACTTCAGTTGGAAGCGCCCTCATCCTGAGAATGCCAGTCTGGGCTTTGTTCTGTCAGCTTCACCCACTGTACACCCAAGGGGCCTCTGAAGACATCAGAGATTAAGGGAACCAAAGGAAGGGTACCTATCCAGCCTCCTCCAATGGTACTGTCTTCTGCCCCCTATCATCTGGGCACTGGGCAATAAATATCAGGGAAAGAAAAAGGCTAACCTCATATTTGGGAGCCTCGGTCCAGGAATCTAGCTGAAAAGAGAAAGACAATCCTCTGAAGTTGAGGTGGAAGAGCTGCTCAGCAGAGTTGTACACTGTGGGAGTGGGGAGAAGAAAATGACAAGGTTGAATGGCATCCGAAGCTGTGAACACAGACCAGCCTGACAGGGAGTAATGACTGGCAACATTTTCATTGTGTCTCATTTCTGAACCGACTTACTAGGCTGAAAACAATGGGGGAGAGCTTTCCTTCACACTCAAGTACCAGCCCCCAAATCTGATAGGAGCTTTGAGGTTGGGGCTGGCATGGCACCACTTGCCAGATTTATTACTATTGGCTGCTACAGACGACCAGAGGAATCAGATGGGCTGGGCTTACCTCCAGGATGGGTTGCACCGAAAGACTGGTCAATCTGCTCAATGGTGGGAGCTATGGCTTGAGAATTAAAATGCACGCCACTGAAAAACAAAGATGCTTTTTAATACCAGGCTTGTAGGATGCACTCACAGGTCATTAGAGATGGTGGCTGGAAGAGTTATTCTTAAAATACATGGGGGTTGAGTCTATAATTATATCAAAATAAAGGTTTAACTATAGAGCTTTTAAGTAAGAGACAATTAATGAGGTCAGAAATAGTCAATTCTCCTGAGGCTGATACAAAGGGTTAGCCTTCTAGGACCTCCCAAGACATCTATGGTGACCAGGCCCAGTTCAGAAGGAAGTAAATCCAGCCTCAGCCCCATAGCATTTGGACTTGGAGAAGAATAATCATAGAAATAGACATTGTTAATGTGTTTTCCCAGAATGTCTATGAGTAGTTTGTCTTGAAAAGGAACTTTCTTAAAAAGGGGATGAACATTTTAAATGTAGGATACAGCCAAGCAAGGCAGCTTGTTTTCCTAACAAGAAGAACCAAAACTCATCAACTGGGTGAATGGGTAAGTGGATGGGGAGGAATGATCCCAAGCAAAGGAAAAATACCTGGGAGGGGGTGGGCTTGGGAGCAAAGAGGAACATGTGATTTCAGATGATGAACACGAAGATAAGTCATTTCTAACTTTAAGGAGAATGCTTAAAGGTTAAGAATATTTTTTTTTTAAAAATGAGTATCATTATGGAACACCTCTGCATTTAAAAAATTTTATTAAGTATAGTTGATTTACAATATTGTGTTAATTTCTGCTGTACAGCAAAGTGATTCAATTATATATATATATGTATATATATATTCTTCTTCACATTCTTTCCACTATGGTTTATTACAGGATATTGAAAATAGTTTCCCAAGCTATACAGTAGGACCTTGCTGTTTATCTACTCTGTATATAATAGTTAGCATCTAGAGCACCTCTGTTTTTAACCAGGCACTGTGCTGTATGCTTTATCAGCATTATCTCATGTAGTTTTCCTAACTCAGCAGCCAGATTTATACTTTCACTTCTCTGATGAAAAAACAAGCTCAAAGAGGTTAAGTGACTTGCCCAATTTCGCAGAGTAATGAAATGAAGAAGCCATAACTCAAACCCAGGGCAGCCTGACTCTTGACCCCTCGCTTACCCACCAGTGACTCTTAAGAGGGTAAAGAGAAGCCAAACCGTGAGGTACGGAAGGCCCCAAGACTAAAAGACCAGAATCTGCAGGGGTCAGTGCTATTATGCATCTGGTTTATCCACTTCTCTATTGGCAGATACTGCTTGAAACAACCCAGGAACAGATCCCTTTGATATCCTTGAAAAGGGAAGCTTGTTAAGGAAGCTTACTGAACAGAATATTCTAGATGCCAGCACAGCAACTTACCATATGGGGGCTGAAATATTTGTGCACCATACAGGCTATTTCCATTTTCATTCTAAAAAGCAGATTTTGCCCCCTCCCCCCCACCCCCGCAAACAGTGATCGTTTTGGCATTCTCTTTAGCATAGGCCTCAGAATCAGCTTTATCTGGTTTGTCCCACCTTTGTTGGTCATGAAAACATAAAAAGGTGCCAAAAGAAGCTGTGCAGGGAAGGGCAGCTATGACCCAGGGGACAGTCACAGACTGAGGTCCTGCTTTGTGGTGGGATTAAGGAAACTGACCCAAATGGGAAGTGTTTCATTTACAGTGTGTTCTGAATGACCTTTCCTTCTCTTCCCCAAGAAATGGAGTAGACTTGGAGGCTGCCTGAGGGAATCATGGCACCCGGCTGTAATCCTAGAACTGTTGAGGATAGAAATCAGCCCATGTGTGCCAAGCCTAGGACACAAACCAGGAGAAAACTTACCAATATTTTAACTTTACTTTAGTCAAGTCATATACTTCAATCACCTAAAAACAAAAAGCAAATGTTTAAGATCTATTAGAGCTCGGCAGTTGAAAAAGGTTAATTAGAAGACATTTATAGAGCAGTGAGGAAAAAAAAAATCACTAGCTGAAATTCTCCTGAAGCACTATACATTTTGTTTGCTTTTATTTTTAAATCTGGAAGAAAAACCCATACCACACATGGCATAAAGTCACCTTCCCCCTCTCTCTAGAGGATGGTTCAACAGATGTCTGTGGATGCTCTGGGTCAAGTTTTTGTATCTAGTCTACAGCTGGATCACACATAAGACTGCACATACCATGCGACAGGACAGTGAAACCCTCCACAAAAACAAATTCAAGCAGCTTGTGAAGGTTGTAACCTGTAAGGGGAATACTGAGCCCCTTTTCTTTCATGCTATACTTTATTGCATTATAAAAACCCAAATCAAGTCGCTTTCAAAAACAGTTTCAAAATATTGTGGTTTACCAAAAAAAAAAAAAAAAAAAGATAGGGGGATCTATCTTATTAGAAAACAAGTCATTTTATTAGCCTAGGTCCAGTGTGACAATACTGTTACATCCCTAATGAAGAGAATCTGGTCCAACCTAGAGAACCTCAGGACCCTTGTGAAGTTTCTAAGGGTGCAGTCTGATGAAATGCCAAGAACTCAGGGAGGAGACAAAGGAAAAGGGATTGAACATCCAGCCACTAGTGATGCTAAGTAATCTGCATCTGATGTCTTTGATGTCCATGGCATCAAAGGCTAGATGTCTAGCCAGTAGCATAGCTGATTGAGGATGGGCGAACCATCTGCTTTCCCCAGCTGGGAGATTTGGCCTCCACTGCAGAAGCACAAGCAGAGCTGGTTCAATCTGTTTGCCCTGACAACCAGGGCTTCATTCTGGGAAGGACTGTGGACACTGGGTGACGGGGCACCTGGCACTGTCACAGGAACAGACACATAACAGACAGTTCACTTGTGGTCAGACCTGTCCCTGGCTTGGAAAACTACAAGTTGGGTGCTTCTTAACTATAAAGTGCAGCTATTCTGATCCTACATGCTGCTAAGAATCACTGCCTCTCCTGGGCTGTTGGAGCATTTCCATCTACTCTTTCCTACACTACCAGTATAGGCCATTCACTGGTCCCACTGAGTTAGGCCCCTTTTAGTCTGGCTCATTAGTGTGCACAGAAGGGTACACAACACATGTCAGGAGTCTGCCTGGGATGAAGCCAGCTAAGGATAATATGAAGCTCAGAAACATGAAAAAAGGTGCTGAGGGAGGTCGTGCAAGGGCAGGGGAATAGTTGTGATTCATGATAGTATCTTCAGAAAGCTGGGGCATGGCAGTATATTATGCTAAATGGGTGTGCCATTTTACTGAGGCCAGGGTCCCAGGCTGCCAGAGGCCTCGACCCTCAGCCAGAACCTCTGCTTGTGCAGCAGGAGTAGCACTCTGCCCCTCTGATTGCTACCACTATGGCTGACCAATGATCCCCCATGGGTGGCCCATCACTCAGCCTGTGGGCCTCCAGAATATTCTTGCTGTGACACTATGGCACTTGTGACGTGAAGGACTCCAAGATGGTCAGCACTCTGGGTCCCTTGCCAGAATCAACAAGCAGATTTTCACCCACAGATGCTTGCTGGACCATAGGGACAGGTAGCTGGGGAAATCTGAAAGCCATGGTTTTCCACCCTCTGGGCTGGAAAAGACCCTGATTTCCCAGAGGAGAAGTTATGGCAGCAGGCAAGATCGGAAATTGATTGTGACTTATGACTTAAGACAAGATTGTGACTTATGAAGCTTCCACAGGGCTCTCTCACAGGCAGGGAGTGAGAGGATGGGGGAACTGCAGGGCACAGCAGTGGGGAGAGGTGACTTCTGAAGCCCTTGTACGGTGGGGCAGACGGGTCAGGTCAGACCTGGTGCCCATCAACGGTACCTGAGGGACTGCTTCCTCAGTTTCCATACTCTCAGGCAGGGCTCCAGCCCTCCCTTCAGAGGGAATCACAGAAGGGAGAGAGATGGTTCTACTCTCTCTCTTTTCCCACTCAACGGTACTTTGAATTCCTTGCATTTCTGCATAGTATACTCACACACTTTTATCCCATTTATTTCCCACATTCATCAACAGAACCTAAGCCATTTCTATTCCTAGAAGCCAGTCGCTATGCTCTGGTAATACAGAGTTAAAAGCCTGGTGTCAGGTAGACTGCTTATCTTCTGTCCCCCTGTTGTCTCACTAGTAAGCCGTACCACTTACAGGCTTGTGAGGATTAAATTAGGAAATGCATGGGAAGCACTCAGCCACATGACTAACAGGTACTGAGTAAGTAAGTAAGTAAGTAAGTAAGTAAAGTTGCTCAGTCGCGTCCAACTCTTTGTGACCCCATGGACTGTAGCCTACCAGGCTTCTCCCATGGGATTTTCCAGGCAAGAGTACTGGAGTGGGTTGCCATTTCCTTCTCCAACAGGTACTAAGTGCTTACTAAATATATTTCCTCACCATGCTGAAATTCTGTCGTAGGCTGCCTATCTACCCCCCACTGTTGCCCATTTAGATTACTTCCAGCTTTTCATTACTATCAAAAGCCCTGCTATAAATACCTGGCAATATTACCCTCCCCATTAATCTTTCTGGGTTAAGTTTCCTACAGTGGATTTACCAAGTTAAAGACAAATGGCTCTTTGTAAAGGTGTTTCCAGATTAATTTCCCCCAATCTGTGATGAAGCCACATTGAAGACCAGCTTCTACCCTTTCTCAGTGTGGGGCTTCTGGTCAGTAGGCCAGGTTGACTGAGCCTATACAGAGAGGCAAGGGTGCTGTGGGGATAAGAGTGTTCACATCAAACTCTCCTTTTTGAAAAGGCAGCATAAACAAAGAATTCTTATTCCATATACAGGTTATTTTTCCATGTGTTCTCTGAACTCAGCAGCTCACTTGAGATGGGATGGTGAGAAGTAGGAAGTACCCAAGCCTTTGGAAAAGCAGCTCCATAAGCTAACCAGGACGACAGCCCTGGCATGCCACTGCCCTGAGCCACATTCAACCTTGTGACTCTAAGGCATGAGTCGGATGTTACATGACTAACCTATCATGTCCAGGCATTTGTAAATAGCACATTAAAAACATCCTGGTCTGAAATAGGTGCTAGTAAACTGTACTTGAATGCCAATTAAGACATACCAGCAAGTTGTTTGATTTCTTTAAAGGGATTTAAGAATCAACTTGGTGATGGTGGTGTTAAGGTCCAAGCCCTCAGCATTTTAGGAGGAAAGGTTCCATTTTTCATCTTCCAAGTCTTATTGTTTGACTCAAGAATGAAGTAAAACAATAAGATACAAAAATCTGACTGAAGTCTTCCAGTTCTATTCTGCAGTCAGGCCCCATTTTAAAGACTTAGGATAATCTATGACAAATACTTACCTCCTCTCATTTTTCTATTCAACACAGAAAAGCCTGCTCCCTACAGCATGTTCTCCGTATCTTCAATACTCTTTCCCCTTCACCTCTGGAGCCTGGAACTGAAGTCCCTCCCAGCCTCTTTCCAACCATCCCAATCTACCCCCAGGTTCTCCCTTTAGGAGGACAGGCACAGCTTCAGTCTCCTATATTGTGGCTGTCTCTGAACCACAAGCCTACTCCCACTCAGGAGTTTCGGAAACATTCCACAATTGCACACATTAATCAGCCTGACATGAAACTTCAGTTGTCATTTATAGTTACCTTAAGTCTCTGATTGAAAGCATCAAACAGTAGTTTGATCCCGTCCTGAGTCAGGTTAAGGATGAGGTCATGGCTTAGAGGAGACTACAAAAAACAAAATGATAAATAAATACACACTCTGAACAACTAAGTATATTCATCAGCACCAGCTGAATTTGAAACCTTACAACATAAATGCAGTGCACAGGGAGTATCTAAGTGTAGACAGCTGACAGGTTTACAAGCCAGAAGAAACTGGTTTGTGAATTCTGTGTCCTCTACTTCCAGTCTGCAGCTGTTGCTTCATAATGTTGGTTGAAAAGAGCCTCTTTTCCAGGCTTTGAGTTATTACCTGGGAGAAAAGTCAAAATTATGTGGGTATACAGGCCATTTTCTTTCACAGGTCCAGAGTCCATATTTGTAGCATGGGTTTATTTACTGCTGTCAAAGCTACAGAGTAGTTGATGAGAAATACAAGCCTTATAAAAGGCCTCACCAGGACCCAAATTCAGCAAGTAATGGTCAGTGCGTTGTTAGCTGAACCTATGTCCCTTCACTCTCAGGCTGTTTGTACCACTCAAAGGAAACACATTTTATTCTTTGACTCTTTTGCGTCACATTCTGGGACAAAGAAGTGCCTTGTGATCTGATTATGTATGAGATGACACTCTCACTCCTCCCTCCCTCCCCACACCATCCCATGTTGCACGTGCCTCTTTCTGTAAAATCCAAGTCCGAGATCTAAGGAGTCATTTCTATATTTGCCCCTTCTGAGTCCTGGGGGGGAGGGGAGCAGCAGCAGAGCAATGGATAGAGCTAGCCCTGAGACTTGGTGAACTGGTGACCTTAAGTGTTTCTCTATACTTTTCTGTTTTTTTCATGGGAATACCATCATCCCTACACCTCCAGGGTTGTAATGAGGACAGAGACAGTAGACCAGAAAGAATCAAGCACAGCACTCAGCATATAATATTCTTTCCTGGAGTCTGTCCCACCTGCCTGCTTCTGCTGCAAAGCAATCAATTCAAAGTCTGAAGACTCTCCATTGCCCTGAACCATGCTGCCCAGCAGTAGAAGAAAAACACCACCATTCAAAACCCTGTCCTTTCTTAAAACTGGCACATAGCTGTCAAAAAGATTTAGAGAAGTTTCTCTCTTTATAGAGCTTCTTAAGGTGGGCCCAATGATTGAAGGTGGTGTCTGTCAGAGATAGAGATATAGGCTAGAAGGCCAGGTGCCCCTGCTGGTATGGGCCTCACTGGAAAAATTCTCTAGAAAGAGCCTTCTGAGATTAGTTCATACTGTCCACTCCCCTCCACCCCACTGATCTTCACAAGATACTAGGCCCAGGTGGCTCCATCATGCCTGGCAAACACCAGAAGAAAGAATGTTGTAATTTTCTAGTAGGTTTCTATGAATGTTTTTCTAAAACCAACAGGACTCAAGTAAGATAATGGAATAATGAACCTCGTCTTAGGTCACTTATTCTCCCTCTCTTTCTGAGAGGGCTATTCCATGGAGGTAAACAGGATGAAGCAATAGTTCAGCATCTTTAAAGACCTTTGTTTGGAGTATCTTAATTTTGTTACACATTTCCAAGATCTGATCGTTTTTCCCTTGGCATTGCTACAATTTAGGACATAACTAAGCAGTATTCAAAAGCAAGCAAATCATCCTCACAATCAATATTTTGTTAGTACTTTATCTACAGAACCAAAATCACATGTGCCATGTGGTGTTTAAGGAGGTCCTTGCCGTTCAATAAAGCTGTCTCTGTTAGCTGTTAACATCTCTCCCCTTTCAGATGGGATCTACTTGACATGCACATTTAACTTCCAAGGTGTGATCTGCTGGAAACAAGCTATTTCTGAAATGTTTAATGGGGTCAAATGATGAAGCAAAGAGACAAATGGGAAAAGAAGCGAAGGAGGGCAACGAGGATAGGATGCACAATTAAAAAGCACCATATCAGAGCTCTGAGAGGCCATTTCCTCTTGATCCTCATAAAAAGATTATTCTATTATAAGGAAACCATCTGGAGAACCAGACTGGTTATTAACTTGCCACAGCTGTACAACCAAGAAATGGGGAAAGCATGGATCTGAACCAAGGTCTGGATTTAAAACCCTGTTGTTCCAACTGCTTAGAAGACATTGGGGGAAATTAGCTTAACTAATGCCAGAACAACTATTTGTACCCAAAGACTGGAATGACAGACAAGATAGTGATATAAGAAATAAGCCTCATTTTAAAAATTGGTTAAAAAGTTTAAAGACTACTTTCAACTGTATCTAAACCTGGGGCCTAATTCTGATTGAACTAAATGTACAGATGGCTACAAGCTCAAGCAGCAAACCCATTATCCCTGTTTTGATGGCTGCTACTTGTCACTGAGTAATTCCCTCATGGTCTAATGCTGAGTCAGATTAGGTTAGGTATGATCTGATTGCAAAAAAGAGGAAAAGTCACCACTCTTCATTTTTCTTTAAAGAGAAACCACTTTGGCACTGTGGCTCCACGAACCTCTGCCCACTCCCACAAGTCCTGTGGTTGGCACAAGAATTTCCAAATACTTGCTTGGAAATTAAGCCTTCTCTGTCTCAGAAGGACCTTTCACATGGGCTCAGTAGGTTGTCAGAGGTGCACAGTACTGTAAAATGTAATGTCTGGGTATAGGTAACACATTCAACTCTGACACTAAGCCAAATGCGGAAGCCACATAGAAGTCTCAGTCATGTTCACGTCAAAAATAAGCTGCCATTTGCTTTAGGATCAGAAACTAGTAGAAACGAATGGAACTAAAATCATCAAATTGGTACTTAAAAGGTCTCAGAAAAGGCACTGAGAATATCTTGCAGCCTGTGTAGGATCAAAACCACCCCCTGAGGTTTATGACACACAGGGCTGTTCCGTGAGGCAACGCGTCTGTGTCCGAGAAGAACCATGAGATCCAAAGGGGCAGTATTTTTAGAGAGTTAAGAAGAATCCTATTTCTAAAGGTCTATAAAAATGTTTCCAACTTTACTTATAAAACCCAATTAAAAAAAAAATCCTGGTATTCAGAAAGTTCTGCACCAGTGCTAACCTAAAATATACTCTTTCTGGAAACTGCAAAGGTCTTTGTAGGCACGCACATTACACTATAAGGGTAGTTCTTGGCACAACATTTAACAAACATTACCACAAGTCAGACAAAAGAAATAAGAGTAAAACATGTCCGTTAATTTGGAACCAATGTTAAGCAATTTTCATATTACCAGATCATTCTTATTAAAAGGGTGAACTATACCTGCTTCTTTTCAAGTCTGGGATGGTCTGCTAGCTAGAAATCTGCACTGCAACAATCCTGAATGCAAACCAAAGCAATCAACAAAGCAGAAAAGACTATTTTAAACATGAAAGTGGAAGGGAAGTACCCTAGAAGACCAGACAATCCCTGAAGTGACCTCCCACTGAAAACCCCCCTTTTAAGGGCCTGTAGGTAAGTCAAACATAATAAAAAAACAAGTTTGATTATTACTGCTCATCTAAACTTCTGGCAGCACTGCTACTGCTAAGTCACTTCAGTCGTGTCTGATGCTGTGCGACCCCACAGACAGCAGCCCACCAGGCTCCCCCATCCCTGGGATTCTCCAGGCAAGAATACTGGAGTGGGTTGCCATTTCCTTCTGGCAGTACTAGATGATCAAAACTACAAATGTTTCAGAATCAAAGAAAATGTACTGGGTAAGTGACTAAGTGTTGAAGACACTCCCATTCAAACACATTGACCTAAGAATCCCTGCCAGTCAGTATCTCCCACAGCATCAACCTCCAGAGGTGAGCCACTGATTAGGGATGCTATTTCAGTAAACAAATAAGTTACCACTCACCTGTTCACTGTAGAGAACCTGAACATTTTTTATGATGCGACAGTGCTTCTGAAGAATGGCCACCGCCTGAGCCAAAGGCATTCCTGAAATAAAGCAAGGACACCTGTGTGGTTACTTGGGCTATCTATTTACTGACATCTATCAGTGTACGAGGCATTAGTCCTTGCAGTAAAGCCAGGGGTGGGAATGGGGGCCACTAAGGTCTACGGACATACTGAGTAAATAAAAGTTTAATAAGCCCAATAAGCAGTAAGATCTAGAGAATAAAGTAAACAGCAAGCACTAAGAGAAAAACTGGATTGTATAAGGGGAAGGAGTAAATAGAAAGACTTCCTGGAAATGGGGACTTCTATGCTGATCCCCAAACAGGCAAAGGGGTTGGAGAAAGCCAAGTCAGTAGGAACCAAAGAAGAAAGAAATGCACTGACTGCATGACTCTGGAGACCAAGATTCTGATTCTCACTCTGCCATGATTACGTATAACCAAGGCAAGTCCTTCCTCTTTCCCTGATATTTGTCTCCTCATTGAGTCAGCAGGAGCGCATGATTTGTAAGCGCTCATTTAAAAAGTGAAGAATCATATGTCTACCAAAATCAACTTATTTTTCCAAGAATTTCACTGGCTTCTCACTTATCAACCCACAAACACCCTCTAAATCTTGATTTTTTTAACTCATGGCCCATTATAAACAAATTTATATATGCACCCCTGCTGCAGTTTAAGAAATTGAAATTCCAACGACACCTCAAAGATTCCAGGGACTCGTGTACTTAGTTGCTCAGTTGTGTCCAACTCTTTGTGACCCTATGGACTGTAGCCCACCAGGCTTCTCTGTCCATGGGATTCTCCAGGCAAGAACACTGAAGTGGGTTGCCATGCCCACTTCAGGTATTGAACCCAGGTCTCCCACACTGCAGGTGGATTCTTTACCATCTGAGCCACCAAGGAAGCTCAGGGACTCATGGGGAACGGTAAAAAGTATGTTTTCACAGAGTGCATTATGTTTCAAACAAGAAGAAACTCACAGAAACAATCCAAAAACAAAGTTTCATGAGTGCAAGGACAGTGTCTGTGTTATTTATTCACTGTTATTCGCCATTCTTTGGATCTCCAGCATTGGGGACCCACATGGTGTCTGTTGAATAAACATTTATTTAGTGAGACTGAAGGATTATGGACTAGGTAACAAGAGAAAGGAAGAGAGACCACCACATGACCTTGGGCTAGGACAGTGGCTCACATTCAAGATCAGTTTACCTCTGATTCGAGGAGAGATGTGCAGAGAAGAGCTCACAGAGAAAGCAGTAGGTTAAAAATATGTGTGGCCCATCTACATTTAAATGATAATTTGATCCTGCCTTTATTCAATGGCCCATTCTACAGTTTGAAGAAAGCTGGAGTAAACCAGACCTTAAGGTACTTCCCAGCACAAGGCCTGGAACATAGTAGACTTAAATGTTCACTGAGAATATGAACAAGTTGATGCATTCATTCCTCAGGTTTGGTTCCAGAAATTGAGGAGCATCTACGCTGTCTCTCCCAGGGGGAATGGTAAACATTCATGTGGGCAAGACAGATAATCTCAGGTGCTGAGAAAGAGAAGACCGCATGGCACAAGCCAGTTTCTTGTGAGAGAGTTATTTCACACCTAACCACATCATATTTCTGGCCTTGGAGTCTTGGGTCCTGAGTCATCCAGGAGTAACCCACCTGGAGGAGACAAAGCAGCTACCGATGACCGGTTGTCACAGAGCTGTTAGTAAAGGAAAGCTACAAATGGCCTCTAAAAGGAACCAACTGTGTATACGGCAAAGAAACCAGAGAACTGTTCTAGCTTGAAGAGTTACCTAACCACCCAAAGGGTGTGGACTATATGCTCCGTCTTCTAAAGTCTACAAATCCTACACCTTACTCATTATTAGCCTGCTTATAACCCTCCAATGGTTTCCCATTATAGGGGGATAAAACCCAAACAATATGCCCTCACCCAAGAGCCCTGAATACTCTAGACCTTGTCTACCTCCATCATCCCTTCCACTTCTCACCAAGCCTCGCAGCACACATCAAGCTCTTTTCCATCTTAGGCGTTTGCATTAACTCTGGACTCTGCTGGAATGTTCTTCCCATAGCTAGCTCTTCTCACTCTTCAGGTCTTGGCTCACACTTCACTTCCCTGACTGCCTTATCTAATCAAACCTCCCATCCCATTTATTTATCTGTAAGTCTCCCCGTTATGTCTCTTTGCTGATAGAGACAATGTCTGTCTTACAGATGTATCCTCAGCACTCAATCACCGTGCCCAACACAACAGTAAGTGGTCCCATTTATCTGCTGAGCTCTGAATGAGTGAAACAAAGCAATCAGGTACAATACCTAGATCCTCTAGCCCTTGTGACCACCCTCCCCTTCTGAGAATTCTCATCCTGTCTCCATCAGTATCACTCTCTCCTGCTGCTCCTCCGACTTCCCCAGGTCTCCATGTCGGGCAGTATTTCCTTCTGCCCATCCATCATGTACCCAACCACCTAGTTTCTGACTCACATCTTTTTTTTTTTTTGACTCACATCTCAATCTGTTTTCTGTATAAATCAAAGGTGAATAAAAAGCTGACAGATAAAAAAGCAACTTTAAAATTTTCTCTTCATTCTGCTCTCTCCTCTGTATTCTGGATCTCAGTATTTCTAACATCTACACAGACACTCAAGCCAGAAACCTCTAGATTCCTCTTCCTTACCCATCTCTCCAAATTTTCCTCCTAAACCCATGCCTACACACACTACTAATAGACATCCTTTTCCGCACTGAACAGAGTCTCTCTGATAGTGTCCCAGGAAGGTAACTGAAAAACAAGGAATCTGGGGAACTGATCTCCCACTAGTACATCATGCTCTAATTACAATACCAAATTGCTTGCAGCTCCCACCGCCCCACCCCCACCTATCTTTCGCACTTTAAAACAAAAACAAAAACAAAAAAACTGACTGGAAGATTTCTGTCTATGGAAGTTTAGATGAGAAATTTGGCAGCAGACTTCTGACAGGGCCTTCCTGGTGCTCACTGGCTCCAGGAATAGTACTTGCTCCTGGCTCCTAGAGATTGATAGGAATCCTCCTCTGAATTCACAGGTCAGGTCAAGTATCTTCCATAAAATAAACTATCTTTTAAATAATAAAATGAACTATTTCTGCAATCCTTCCCCTCCATTAGACTAAGTTCTTCAGGGCATGACTACTTTTTCTTACTCAATTTTCAATAACTGTAAGCAGAGTTCACAGAATGAGCCTTCAACAGAGTAAGCCCCCAGTCTCTCTGGAACAAGGTGATCTCAGAGAAGGCTACTGTCCACTCATTCTTTAAATTTACCCAGCTGGGGCATCTTCACGATGAGTTAAAAAAAAAAAAATTATTGGAGTATAGTTGATATAAAATGTTGTGGTTTCTGTTATACAGTAAATTGAATCAGTTATATATATATATATATATATATATAGCCATTCTTTTAAAAATTCTTTTCTCATATAGGTCATTAAAGAATATTGAGAATTTCCTCTGCTATACAGCAGGTCTTTATTAGTTATCTATTTTTTAAGATTAATTTAAAAACAAATTTAGAGACATGTCTCCACGCCAATACATTCTGTAAGTCTCATGAAAACACTTAAGTTTGCAATGCTTTTACTCCACCATTGGTCAAGCCAGGGTGGTACCAGCAAAAGATTCCTCTCTGCCTAGGTTTATCTTATCTCTGTGTTGTTCCCTACTCTCCCAAAAGTACAAAGGTCAGGAAAGGAAGCCAAAAAGCTGGATGCAGCTCCTCACTGTGATGCCAGATGGATGAAGGCAAGAATTGGATACATCTGTATTTGCACAGATGCTGAAAAGAAACCTGGAGACTAAGCTGAACCCATTCTCAGAAGGGCAAAGCAGTGAGAAGCAGGAAATCCCTACTAGGCTTCTTTTTATCCTCTCTACCTTTCTGAGCCTATGCCTCACCTGGCAAATAGAGGTAACCTCACAGGGTTGTGGTGACTTTAGCCTAAGAATATAATTCTAAAGCACAGATTCACTTCTTAGGACTATCCCTACCTATGAGCCTAAATTTCAGCTTAAATGTGTTAAGGGCTGGTAAGAAGACTGAGAAAGAGGGAAAATTACTTTTTAATAAAAAGCTTAGGGAAGTTAAATGACCATTTCTCAGGCAGACATAATACAAAAACGTGGATTTTTTTGGCCATGCTGCACAGCTTGGAGCCTCTTAGTTCCCCAACCAGCGACTGAACCCCAGCCTACTGCAGTGAAAATGCCAAGTCCTAACAACTAGATCGCCAGGGAACTCTCCTTAAGTGCAGACTTTCAAGACCCAAAAAGGAATCATCAAGGCTGATGATCATCAGGCTTATTCCCTGTATGAGCTTTCCCTCAAAGTTCAGTTCTAGGCCCAACATACAGAAATGCTCTTTTCACTATTTGTGCTTGGTATTCAGACAGCCTGAAAGAACTATCCAAATCCTTGACTCCTAGAAACTGGCAAACTTAGGAGTAGGGGTTAAAGTATCAAAACAACAGCTGATAGAAGAAACCTTACTCTCCCACCTCATTTTTAGCAAATCTCAAATGATACTACTTTTGACCCAGAGACTGTACTTGTAGATACACAACCTAGTCACACCATCAAGCACAGTTTGAAGCTATAGTCATAGTTTTCACTCTGCCCTGTGAAGTCCTGGGATGAGAAGCTGTGTTTAGGGTAGGTTCTTTCCTAACTAGAAGCCAAACAGCATCAGCAAAAAAAATGGCCCTGGAGGCAATGATATCCTTAGCCTCTCAATCAGGTTCTTGGAGCTTCACAAGAAGCTAAAGTGTTTCATACCAGTTAAGGTAAATTCTCAATAAAACTGGCTCCCACAACCCAGAGGCAGCTTGCTGTTCAGTTCACAGAGACACTGAGCACCAGTAGCATCCTACCAGCAAATCTGTTCTGCAGTTTCTCACCTACCCTATCTCCATAAACAGGAGTCTTCCAGATTCAAGGATAAACTACAGCCCAATGGACCAGCTGACTCAGTCCAGTAGCCCAAATTAGTGTGACAAAAGTCTAGGCCTGCACAAACAAACAGCACAAACACCTGCTCCCCAACCCCTCTTCCCAGCGCTGGAACATAAAAGTAAACACACTCCGGGGTTACTGAATGCAAATACTTGTACACAGAAAGGGAGCGACATTGAGGAAAAGGGGAAAACACAGGCCAAATCTCACAAAATGCCCAACCTGCGTTTTTACAAACCAAATGTTACTTTACCCAAACTCCTATTTCATTCAACCTTTCACTCTCTCCGCTAAAGTCTGGGTTTAGGATTACACCACCATCGACCACATTAAAAACAAGAAGGAAGCTAGTCAGAAGTTGCTTTAACACACAAAAACTCTCCTTAGTTCCCTTGACCAGCTCCCCAGTATTTGGCGATGGGAATGGTGCCTAGGTTTCTCCTTCTGGAGAGGCTACACAAGGCCCAGAAAAGCAAAGGGAGATGAACTACTTGGGCGGCATTTAAGGGTGTCAGTCACTTCTTAGCTATTTGGTCTGTAAAATGGGTAAAGAAATAACAATCTTAGGCCTCCCCGGTGGCAACCTGATATAATCATGCACCGGAGAACAGGGTCAGGCCCTGGGTAAATGTTTGGGGCGTGTCAGCCATTGTTGTTATTATCGTAGCACTGCCCCGGGAGGGGCCCCGCCGAGGCATGATGCTAGGGCGTCAGGGCCCGGCAGAACGATAGGCTGCCAGGTCGGGGCCGGCATCTAGTGACTGGAGTCCCAAAGAGTCAGGAGCCGGGGGCGCAGGGGAGTAAGGGGCAGAGCTCAGAGGTGGGAAGGGCAGGGAAAGAAGTAAGGATCAGCGAGAAGGGTCGTGGGGGAAGACCCTACACTCACCCAGCGCGAATTCCCATTGCTCGTTTCCCAGAGAGCGCTCGGGCACCACCTCCAGATCCAGCATTGGCTCGGCTCGCCGGGCCGGGGCGGCCTCCCTGCGGCAGCGCAGACCGGACCGGAGCTTAAGAAACAAAGCAGAAGGTGACTCACCACCCGCGCCGGCCCTCGACGGCCCGGCTCTCCACCTCTACCCTGTCGCCAGCGCTACTGGCCCTACACCACACCTCACCTGACCTCACCTCACCTCACTTCACCGGCAGCAGCCTGGGGCAGCGGCGGCAGCAGCAGAAGCGTTTGCGGCAAAAGTGGCGTGCGGGGCCGTAAAGTGTGGCGGAGGCGGGGCGAAGGCGGGATTTCAGTCGCGGGGGCGGAGGTAAGGCGGAGTCACTCCAGCACAAACTCCGGATAGGCGGTTGCGACAGTCCGGCAAAAGCAGAAAAGTCTGTATCATCCGGAAGTGCGGGAGCTGTGGGAATGAGGAGCATCACACTCCGTGCACCCCGACATCCGCACACCACAGTGAACACGTTTCACAAAAGGATGCGTGACCACGCAACACATACATGTGACATGGCTATACAGAACCTGTCTGCCGTCTACATGTACGTCCCACTCACAGTCACTGAACGCAAAAGGCGAGTTCCGAGAGCGCACTGTCTGAGGCCCAGCGGGGAGAGGACATGGAGCCTCAAAGCTCAAGACGCGCCAGCGCCTTACCACTCCCGGTTGGGGCCGAGACTGACGCTGGCCGCAGCTGCCTCTAGTTGTCCAGGAATGATTCCTTCTCTCTGCGGCCACTGGGACTTGGGTCGAGCTCAAAGCAAGCGAGGAGTGGGTTCGAGTACTTGTGTTGGGGTGGGACGGGGGTGGGGCTGCTGGGGGAGCTGGGGGAGCGGACTAGGTTAGAGAGGAGCTAAGTAGCCGACCACCTTCCGCTGTGCACAGCCCCGAGGGCTGCAATCCGAACACTGCTGGCAGCCGCCCAGACTCCGCCGGAGCACCGGCTTTGCCGCCAGCGCTCTGTGGTTTTCATCAAATCTCTGGTGCTCTTCGTGCCCGTTTCCTCATTTACAAGTCGGGAGTAGGGTGTCCTCCAGCCTGTTCAGCCTGAGCTTCTGGCCAATGTCCTGGGGCACTCTAAAACTGAAAGACGACCAGGTTTCTTCTGGAGCTGACCCTTCATGGACGGAATCTCTGGATTCTCAACCGCCCTGGGATGCAAGATTGGTCCTATCTCACTTTACAGGCGAGGGGGTAGGGGGTGGGGTTGGGGAAGAGGCCCAGAGAGGCTGAAGGCCTTTTGGTTCGAGGGGCAGAATTCAAATTCTTTCCATTATATTGCCCCGGAGGGATGTTTTTTAGCAGAGTGACATGCTGAATTCTTAGACTAGTTTGGTAGGAGTGTAACATGGGAGATTCTACCAAAACTTGAGGTCATTGCTACTGACAATAAAATAAACACGGAGAAGTCTATCCATTTGCAACATCCTATGCCAAAAGAATAGAACTGAGTCATTAAGATGTCCAGGCTTCCCTGATAGCTCAGTTGGTAAAGAATCCACCTGCAATGCAGGAGACCCCTGTTCAATTCCTGGGTCGGGACATCCGCTGGAGAAAGGATAGGCTACCCACTCCAGTCCATCAGTAGGGAAGTGGCTAACTATGATATATATGTGTTAACAGGACCCTTCTCTTTTTAAAAAATTGGAGTTAGTTGCTTTACAGTCTTTAGTTTCTGCTGCATATAGCAAGGTGAATTAACTATATGTTTATATATATATATGTGTGTGTGTATATATATATATATATATATATCTCCCCCTTTTTGGATTTCCTTTCCATTTGGGCCACCATAGAGTATTGAGTAGAGTTCCCTGTGCTATACAGTAGGTTTTCATCAGTTATTTATTTTATACATAGTAGTGTATATATGTCCATCCCAGTCTCCTAATTCATTCTATCCCCGCCTTACCCCTTGGTATCCATACCTTTGTTCTCTACGTCTATTTCTGCATTGCAAATAAGAGGAAAAGACAGGAAAATTAAATATTTAAGAATTCAAAGGGTGGCCTGTAGTAGTCAGATATTTTCTTTCCTGGGCAAAAGGTAGACTGTGGTTCTCTGTCCAGATGAAGTTGAGCATGGCCCTTGTGATTGCTAGGTCCAGTGAAATGAAAACTGAAGATGCATGTGTCAAGTTTCAGGTGATAGTTTTAAAAGTCAGTGCCCCTTTCATTACACTGTCTTCTTGGCTCTGTCACATGGCTAACAATGTTCCCGTGATCTATCAGCCTAGGTCAATGGGCAGGTATTGACCTGATGGACATTTAGCAAATAATTCTTTAAGCCAATAAAATTTGAGGAGTTTTAGGCAACACAACCAACTTATCCAGGTAAGAAAAAATCGTCAATTATGCCTCCTGTACTTTTTTCTCTGACTTGAAGTGTTTTCATGCTCGCTAAGCTATCCTTAATCTTCCTCTTGTGTCACCATTATCATCAATGGGACAAACTTGCTGCTTCTAGTTCTATCAACCAAAATGAGCTTTATCAAACACCTTTTCCCTCCCACCCCCAACCCCTCACTGGCTTCCTATTTGCCCTTGGGAATTGTCCAGCGACTTTAACATGACTGGAAGAGTCCATCCAGCACTGCTGGTTACCCTCACCCTGGCCCCTGCTGACCCTTTCAGATTCGTCTCACTGCAGCACCCCCAGCCTCATTCCACCAGTCACACTCAACTGCACTTAACTTCTCAAATTTGCCATGCTGCCTATAATACTTCTGTCATGCTGACAGTCAGATCTCAGCTCAAATGTCTCAAGGAAGTCTTTTTCTTTTTTCAAGGAAGTCTTTTTGACCACCCAGACCAAGTTAGATGTGCCCCGTAAGAGCCACAACTTCCAATACAAGTTGTGTATTTTGTCTGCTTTCAGTTCGTTTTTTGAGTCAGATCATAGGTTCCCTGAGGGCAAAGACCATGTCTATTTTGGGACTTCCCTGGTAGCTCAGCTGGTAAAGAATCCTCCTGCAATGCAGGAGACCCCAATTCAATTCCTGGATTTGGAAGATAGGCTGGAGAAGGGATAGGCTACCGGTTCCAGTATTCTTGGACTTCCCCGGAGACTGAGCTGGTAAAGAATCTGCCTGCAATGCAGGAGACATGGTTTGATCTGGACACAACTGAGCAACTTTCACTTTACTATTTTGGGTACTGGAATACATTTCTTCCCTAAATGATCCTAGGAGGTAAAATAGTCACACTTTGTTTTAAAAAGTGAGACTCTAATAGTTTCCTTTGTTTAAAACTTATTTTTCCTTTTGAAAGTAAGTATGACCTATGTCCTCTGTCTACTTACAATGTTAATATTGATATAAACCAATACACGCAATTTAAAATTTTCTACTAGCCACATTAAAAAGGAAAAACCAAAGTTACTTTTATTTCACCCAATATAACAGTGTATATTTTAATATGTAGTCAAAATGTAAATTAAACCTTATTTCTTTTGTATTAGATTTTTGGTATTTGGTATTTTAGTGTACTTCAACCCGGAAACAAGATTTTCAAAGGCTAATATGAAATGTAGTCTTCCCCAAAGTTTTAACAGAAAAATATTTAACATAGCTTCAGTTTTTAAATTAAAAAATAAATTCAGTTTCTTGGTTTTAGCAGCCACATTTCAAAAGCTCGATAGCCACACTTGCTTAGCATCTACCACTCATGGATGTACATTATCTTCTCTAACCAAAACTTTATGCCTGTATCTTATCTTCTCACATTTCCCAATGTTTCTGAAACCTGAATAAGGCCAATAATGACTTTAAGTTGTTTAAATTATTCTAGCCAGAGTTGAGGATTGACTAATAGAGTGACTGTTTTCAAGTTATCTTACACTTAAAACGAAACAAACTGCCACTTTCACCAATGATTCTACTCTACAAATTGTAATTTTCTACTTGAATATTTTTGAAATGCCATGTACATATATGTGATGGTGATGCAGAAAAGGGACTGATGCTATCCAGGAGAATCATGCCTTGAAATACGCCTGCAAATAACTGCAGTCTTAAAGAATATTTGCGACATCAAAACACCTACGTTGTCTTGTAAATACTTATACACTCATGTGGCAAAATGACTGTGGTGGTTTTAAAAACATGTTCACAGACTCTGACACCCCACCCTTCATGAGATGAAGCTCAGTACTTCTCCCTTCCAGTGTGGGCCTGACCCAGATACTTAACATACAGAGTATGGCAGCCCCAAATGAGGTTATTAAGACATGGCTTTCATCTTAGATCACTCTCTGGGAAAGCCAGCTACCAAGTCATGAGCTGCCCGATAGAGACACCCATGTGCCAAGGAAGGAGGTCTCCATCCCCAACACCGTGAAAGGTCATTCATTCAATGACTACGAGTGGGCTTGGGAGGATCTTTCAGCCACAGGTGTCTTATATAGCCCAGGATGCCAATCTGACTTCAGGAGAGGCCTTGGATCAGACCACTGGACTTAGCTGCTTCTCGGTTTCTGACCCACAGGAACTGAGATGGTGTTTATTGTCAGCTGCTAAGTTTTGGGGCAATGTGTTATGCACCAATGGATAATTCACAATAGCTTCTTATAGCTTGAAAAATCTCCCCAGTGACAAATGAGGCATAAATCAAGTAAGGCATTTCTTTTCCCAGGTAACCCCAAACTAACATATACAAATACCTGCTTCTAGAGGTAATTACTGAAACTGTGATGCTATGGCTCAAATAATTTTTGAAATTAACTCACAGTATGACTCTAACTCTTTGAAATTTTGCTTCATGGTGTCAATTCAGCATTAAAGGTATTTGTTATTTGCAGTAAGTCTGGTGGTGAATAATTATTTTCTTATGATCACGCTTAAGGTATGCTTCTAAAGTAAGTGGTTTAATTTTCTGGTGTAGGAAAATGCCAAGAAAAGTCCTAAGAATGTCTGATATGACACTAGCACAGTCAAACTGAAAGTATATTCCTAAAATGAACAGTTTGAAAGATGGAAGTTACTTGGATATGTAACTTCTGGAATTCTTCCTTCCCTCCAACTTGACTACTCTATAGTCATATCTCATAGGCTGGGTAAATCAAGGCCGATTTTTTGAAAACTATAATATACATTGGAAAGTCAGTATTCTTTCTGTTACCTACATTAAAAGTTTTCTTTGGAATTAACAGAAATGACCACTAGATGCCACTGTTGTTGTTTTTTTTAAGGGTAAATAGCAGGATGCAAGAACAATTCAGATACAAAATCAATTTTTGTGTCATAATGAACACTGAAACAGAAATTGCTGGATTATTGTTAATGAAGAACCAAGACCCAGAAGTTCACTACACAGAAGTTTATTGTGAAAGTAAATTAAACATACAAACACACAATATGGCTAATGGTGGCAAAAGCAATCTGGTAGCTTAAGGCAAGTTTTAATGGAGATGAATTTAGAAAAGATGATGCAATGATGTCATTTTGTTTAAATACAGATTATGGAAAAATATCAAATTGCATCAATAACTTAATAAAAGTAGTTTTCAAAGCCTGAACTACTGGAGAAAAAGGGCTCATGATCTTAATGCCAGCATTAAGACAGATGGAAGCAATACAATGCTAAATGACAAGAACAATCCCGTATTTACAGAAGGATGGTAACATGAACATTTAATAATGTTTGATCTTAGTTACTGGTGGACTGAAAGCCCTTAGCTAGAAGCAATAGAAAAAATGTGCCATCATCATGTTTTTTAAAAAAAACAAAATTTAAGTGCAGAGTCAAAAACCAAGGAGCTCTGTGATAAAGTAACCTTAAAACAGCACTGGAAGGATCATTTAAAAGGCGATTCCCTCAAGGGAAATTAGGGCACTGAGTGTGTAAACATGTGAGCTGCACAATATCAAAATCCAACCAATTCATTCATAGTACTTAGTTACACAAGATCAGCATTGTCTTTTATGATGCATATTGTTTATAATGATTTAAACACACTCCTTACCATGCATGACTTCAAATATATAACACATACTTTTATTCTGAGATACAGGATATGTTTCTGAATTATAAGACCTATATACATTGAAAGTCACACCTCCCTCATCAATCAAGTGTATATATGTTTTAAATGCAATGACCTTATTCAGACTTCAGTTCATTTTCTGAATTGACCATGTCAGTTTTTTCAAACTCTTCATAATAATGCCATTCTATTATGATAAAATACATTTTTGCAAAAATTCAGAAATGCAGTAACATTTAAATGAATGTAACCATGAAAAATAATTGTAAGGAGATGCCAAATGACTTATGTTTTTTTCCAGTTTGTATTAAAAAAAAAGCTGCAATCAATTTGACAATGAGCCTATTTTAAAAATATTCTTATACTAATTCATCTCAAAAGGTTCTATTAATAGTCCTTTTGGAAAATACCATATATATATAACCTGTGAATTTTTCTCCAGAATAATTAATGGAAGAAAATGTACCCTCTGCATAGATGTACATTTTCTAAGACTAATCTTTCATCACTCAGCATTGTTTTTTTACAAAAGCATGCATTATAAAATACACATAAAAGCAGCTATCTTAAACATGATTTTAATACAATATTACCTTTGTAGCTGATTCATCACTGTCTCCAGTTTAATATGCTGTTACATACATGAAGAAGCTCCAGTATCCCTTTTCTTATTGACTTAAAAAAAAAAAATCCCTGAATAAAACAGAAGCCAGCCTGTGACTTCTTTAGGCATTTCAGTAGAATACTGAGAATATCTCCATACAAACTCATGATTATAGAACAGAATCTAAAACGATCTGGGGCAGACTAGAGTTAATACCAATTAAAATTTTTTTTTGCTTTATTAAAAAGGAAAGAAAAGGAGCTGATTATCAACATTTAAAAGGATACTGCAACTTTAACAACTGTAAACTTTTTGTTAGAAGGCATGGCAGACAGCTCTATGCTACAAGGTTTTTAGCTTGTAAATAATGCAAACCATCAGCAGTTTTAAAATGCCATAAACTATAAAAACACAAAAGGAAACAGGGGAAACAAAACAAAAAGCCAAGAATGTTTATCTAAAATGAAGCTGTATAACCAACACATCTAAAACTGAAAAAAACCAAACAACAACAACAAAAAAACTAGAGCAACTGATTAGGGGGAAAAAACCCTCTGGTAAAAATTTTAATTTCTTGACTTTTAAAAAATGACATGAACTTTTAAATTAAAATGAAGGGAAAACAAAGTTTTACAAGTGGATAGTTTCGACTCACTAAAATAATGCCAACAAGGTAAGCTTGCATAGAAAAAAATTTCAAATTATTACTGGCTACATGCATACAAAATTAGAAATGCAGGTATTATAGTGCAAAACCATGGCAGTTTGTGATGTTTTGTTACTGCCTAAGGTTGAGAAATAAACCGTAGTACCTCCAGTTATCACAGTTTCTGGTCTTTTAATTAATTATTTCTGCAGACTAGAAACAATGAATATGTAAAGATAGGGTCACATCTTTTGTGCCACCAATTAGCGAAGTTTGAGGTCATCACCACCACCTAAACTGGAACCAGGACTAGGGTCTTGTTGTCTTCTTGCCTGCAATGACAAAATTATAATTCAGGGTGAAAATGTGTTTTGAAAATCGAAGTGCTAATAAATATAAAATACAGGAGCACATATAAGGAAAGTTTGCAACTAATGAATTTTCAGCCAGTATCTCCACATGTTAAGAGGAAAAAGAACAATACAGATTATGTATGAAATATTTTGCTATAGTTTCCTTAAAAACCAAGAATAAAAATCTCATTATATTCAAAAGAGCATTATCAAAATATGTACTGTGGATAAAAGAGAAACAAATCCTGTATTTATAGTTTTGGGACTAAAGGGTTTAACTTGAACACACCATCCAAACATCTTAGAAGCAAACTTTCCCATTTTCTCTTTTAATACCAGCAAACATTTTACATACTACTATATAAAATAGTAAACAACAAGGACCTACTGTATAGCATAGGGAACTATGCTCAATATTTTGCAATAACCTATAAGGGAAAAGACTATATACATATCTGAATCATTGTGCTGTATACCTGAAACTAATATAACACTGTAAATTAACTATTCTTCAATTAAATATACATATAAGTAAAATCATTTTTGAAAAAGCTGAGCATCCATTGAGCACTAACTATAGGCTGGGCACTGTTCTAGGCAATTCACATGAATTAATTAACTGAATTAATTTAATCCCTGCCAACCACCTATAACACAGGTGCTATTTATCCATTTTATGGATAAAAAACCTGAGTCATAGTAAGTATATGGCTTATTAATCATATAACAAAAATATAGTAGCGAATTTCATCTCTCACTGTATTCTCTCTCTGCCATCTGGGTTTTAACCAGAAATCTCTTTGCCAAGAAATAAAATTGAGAATTACTATGGATAAAGTATTGTCTCAAAAAAATATGATATGAGAGTCCTTGGTGCACTTGTTTATACCCGGAAGTATCTTTACAACAATACTAAGCAACTAAAAGGCTTGACAATTATAAACATTGAGGATTTCAAGTTTCACTTTAGAATAAACATTTCTATTTAAACTATGGGAAATAATAGAGAACATCTAAGAATGAACATATTGTACATGACACACTCTGCTAATATACAGTTTTTTAAAATTTATTTTTAATTGAAGGATAATTGTTTTACAGTATTGTGTTGGTTTCTACCAAACATCAACATGAAATATACAGTTTTAATATAAGGGCCCCCACTTGATCCACACATAATATTTACTTTCAGTTTCTCACAAATTCCAGTGCATCCTTCTTCCATAAGTGTTCTTTAGTAACTACAAATGTCAGTCAAGCACAAACATCTGTTTATAGAACCTAGTTCCTTCAGCAACAGTTTTCCTATGCTAGAGGCTACTCCATTTTACCAGCTGTTTAAGCAAAAAACCCTCAACATGTCTTTCTCTCACATCCAACAGCAAATTCTGGTAGTTCCACATTTCAATAAATCCTGAATCTGACACTTTCCTACCACTCTCACCCTAGTCCAAGCCACCATCATCTTTCATACATGCCAGCAACCAAACCAGGACTGACTGCAATTAACCTGTGCCATCTTTAGCTAAATGGAATTATGTATTATTGTTACCAACTGATTGTCCACCATCTGTCAGTTTTGGGAAACAATCAAAAATTGAATGTTCTGATTTCAATTATTAAGATCTAAAACAGCTGTTAGGGAATGAACATCCTTGACCTTCAGTGAAACATCTCAACAAGTCACACCTGTGCTGTAAAATCATGTTTAGTCGGAAGCTCCAGTTTTATCATCATTTTTCAAGAAGGTTATGCTGTTTAGACAGAAATGACCTTGCCTTATTCACTTTCAAACAAATGCAAACCCAACACTAATTTCTGTGGTCTTTCTTATAAACTGTGATGTATTCCTCTAGCAAACCTTAACTATTTTTACATGCTGACTACATCTTGGCACATTCCTTTCGATTAACTAGTCAGGTTAATGTTATGCTACATGGGTACAGACTGAAAGAGCGATGGAATGCATATGCATCAGAAAAACAAGTTATGTTCTCTACAGAATCAATGCTAAATGTAGTGTAAGGACAGATCAATTCTGCAAAATCAAGAGATGGTAATATAAGCATCTGGTTTCAGTCAATGAAGGTTAGAAAGGGGCTGAGCAATGAAGAAACACTGAGAAAAATCAATCCTAATTATATATTTATAAATTACTACTAACCTACCAGTAATACTTTGTGAAAAAGGTATTTCAGCTTTTGTCTTGTAATAAGAGTAATTTTCAAATTTTTTTAATAATGGGGATGAGGTGGATGAACCTAGAACCTATTATACAGAGTAAAGTGAGTCAGAAAGAGAAAGATAAATATCGTATTCTAATGCATATATATGGAATCTAGAAAAATGGTACCAAAGAATTTATTTACAGGGCAGCAATGGAGAAACAGACATAGAGAACAGACTTATGGACATGGGGAGATGGGAGGAGAGGGTGAGACGTATGGAAAGGGTAACATGGAAAGTTACATTACCGTATGTAAAATAGATAGCCAACGGGAATTTCCTGCATGGCTCAGGAAACTCAAACAGGGGCTCTGCATCAACCTACAAGGGTGGTGTGGGGCAGGAGATGCGAGGAAGTTTCAAAAGGGAGGGGATATATGTGTATCTATGGGTGATTCACGTTGAGGTTTGACAGAAAACAGCAAAATTCTGTAAAGCAATTATCCTCCAATAAAAAATAAATTTTAAAAAAATTCAGTGAAGTAAAAGAAAAAACAATTATTTTAATAATGGGATGACTCCAAATGAGTGACAAAAACAGTCATCAGCAGCTACAGTTCTCCTTACTAGTCAGGGCTGTGCAGAGGTTGCTATGGGTTTATTTGTTAAAAATATTTTTTTTGTAAAAGCATGGAAAGTTGTTTTGCCTTCTGTTTTTAATTTCTATTTACACTATAAAGAAGGAATGAGGAAGATGTAAAAGAAGACACTATGATGGAGAACCAAAAACTGAAAAAAAGAAAAGGAAGTCTGACAGTATGAATGAGAGCAGAAGGGAGAAGAACGAGAGAGCAGGGAGACTGGGAGGAAATTTAATGCTAGAAAGGAAGATGTATGCGCTGTCACATGAAGGAGACAAATACAGACACATTTATGTCTGATGAAATAGATTCCACAGGACTGGAATTTAACAGCTGGATACACTGCCTTGAAAAGCAGTGCTTTAAACTGTGGCAGTTTTCTAATGAAGGCTGGGTATTTTAGAAGGAATTCTATGAGTACCAAACTAGAGATGATGGCAAAAACTCTGAACCTGATTATTTTAAAAGTATAAAGCCTGTAATTTCTAGTTTCTTTCTCCCCAGTTAATCCAGATAGGCCCTTGATTTTAGCTTTTTATTAACAATATTTCAGAATAGGGTTTTAATATAAAGCAGACACCCATGAGCCTATTCAAAATACAAATCTGTTTCTAGTTTTTATAAAGAATTAATCTAGACATTTTACTATAGACCCCTCACCACCAGTTGCTCTTGTTTTCTTTATCACCCAGAAACATGGCAAATCCAGTTTCTAGACGGCAGTCATGGGATGTGCTCAAAATGAACACACAAAGACATGCACCAGATGCTGGAGCTTTCTCTGCTGGTCAGAGCCGTGCAGAAGTAGCCAAGAGCAGGGATACCCAAGTGAAAATGAATAAAACCTGGCTGATTTCCTTTATTATCAAGATTATCAAACTGCAGAAAACTCTTCATGAGAAAATGCCCTAATAATTAAAAATAGATCCAAATTTATCAAGTGTATACTACACCAAGATAATGTGCAAATCACTTTATGTTTGACACTTGGCTAAAGGCTGGAACACAGCATGATAGAAGTTAGAGCAGCACTGTACTCTACAGAGCTCTAGTTCAACTCTTACACATGACAGACCTGAGACCAAGAATGCTACATGATTCCCCAAAGGTTTCACAGTTAGCTGTGAACGCTAAAGAAAATGAACCTTTACCTTACAATTAGTATTAATGTCAGCCTCCTAAGTAACTGCTATTTCTCCTGACTTTTAAGGCGAGACACAAAGCAGAAATTTTAAGTCCTAATACAACAGAAAGAAATGCACTTTCTCCAAACTCATAAAAAAGGTAAAAACAAGGTCAGAAGACAATCATTAGTAGACTTCAAGAGCTGGTCTACTAGGCACATCAAAAAAATACAGTTTTTATAAAGTATACTTCAGGAAAACTTTAAAATGGCATTTAAAAAATAAAAGAGATAGTGGAAACAACTGACATTTCTGGGCTTGGATGGGGCATTCTACACTTTAGTAATGTGAGCTTATATAAGCTTTTTGCCCTCTTTCAGCCTCAGCTCCGCAAAAGGGAGATGCATTTAAGACTCAGATGTAAAACCAATACCGCAGCATATACTGCCCGGCACATACTAAGCACTCATGCTGTTATCACTACAAGCTGCTTATAACTTCCCGATTTATCTATATGAACTTTTCAAATCTTAAAAAAAAATCTGCACCCTGTAGATGAGTTATTTTTATGAATTAAAATAAAGTTAAAATTAAAAGAATTTTAGTAAAATCTACCTCTCCTATGATATATACCAAACAAGGCCCTTTCCCTCTGTGTGGGAGAAGGCAGACCTAGCACCCTTGCTCTCCCTCACTAACCCTCTTCCAATGCTGACTTAGTCTGAGTTCATATTCCTAGCTCACCTTCATCTACTGTCCAAAATACACCCCAGGAAGGTCAAGTATAGACAAATTTTTATGTTAATTTGTCCTTACATAAAAATAAGTATTTACAGAGTTAAGTGATGTGAAAACTGAAGTCTGTGGGAATTTAAAATAAATAAGAGGCTGTTTTTTCTTGGACCACACAGAATCGAAGGCTCCAAAAACATACAAAACATAAATATAAAAACCACAGTCTTTCGCCTGTTTTTATTTCCAAATAGTTTCCACATAAAATTCCCATATGATTTGCTGAACTGTACTAAAACTGACTATAGTAGAATAA